TATTGCACAACATTGCATGAAGAATTAATTCAAATGTCGTGCAAATCTTCAGAGAATGTGCAACCTAAAAGATTTTTCAAGAACAGGAGTCTGAAGTTCTCTCTATTGTGCTATATATTTTATTTTGAGACCCTTTTTATTTTCATACTGTTTCAGGAAATTGCAAATATTTTTGATAAAAACAATTGGAATTCTGTTCTGGTAGTTGACAGGTAACTTCCGACCTCAAAAGAATTACTAGTGGTGGATTTTTGTGCTTTTTCTCCATGAGCACAATATTTAGCAAGTCTAATTGCCCATTGCTATACTTATAAGAAGCTACCATTTCCTGTCAGTGCAGTGCAGTGAAATGCGTGGACAATCCACCTGACAATGTGTATTCAATAACTCGACTATATCACTATGAACACTTCTTGTGTTTAGTGAACCAAATGAAAATCTTCGGCATGCCGTTGAATCTTTTGGGAAAGCAGAAATGCACAACACAATTAGTAAGTAGACGAATTCTGATTTTATCATGCACATTATCATGTATACGAGTATTTTTTGTATCCGGGTATTTTCAATTGAAAATTCTATAGTATATTAGGTTAGAGTTAGGATGAAATTCGTTGTACATGAAATCCAAAATTTGATCATAAAATCATAAAATCTGAAATTTTGTACATAAAATCTAACAGTGTCCTCGGCCAAACTCAACTGCGATAAATGAATACAATAACCTAGTACATCTCAATCAACACTAGGAGTTTTTATAAATTTTTTTACACCACACTCAATTTATTGGCACGGTACCGGCCTAAATTGGTACACGAGAATGTTTGAAAAACATCGCCTGTTAACTTCGTTTCATCGTGTTTTCTATTTCAAAGATGATTTTGTCATTTCGGTGCTCGGTGTTTTTTACCAAACGATCGTGCTCTTCTTGAAGCTCTGGTTCTACTTGAGATTTATTGTAGAGTGTAATGGCGTATTTGCTCCCCCTGCCCCTCCCAGGTGAAAAATAGGGGGGAACGCCCTGAGCATGTGCATAAAAGGGTGATGAACGGTCAAGCATTCTCAGGATGGCGACTTTGTCTAATTGTTTTAACAATTTTTGGTTTAGGTCTGAATGTTTACAGCATTCTTAATCATGATAAAATTGTTCTGTCACTAAATGCTATTGAACAATTGGAAGAGCGACTATGTAAAGATAATCGACCTATTTGGAGATGACATCGTTACAAATATTTTGTCTGTCAACTGTTGTTAAAAAACATTGCCCCGAATGAGAATTTCCACGGAAAGAACTTACTTCTGTAAGAGGAGCCGGTAAATGGCTGTAATCCAGCAATTTGAGAGTGTCTCTGCTTTTATGATGACATGAAAGAATCTACTTGTAAAACGTTAATGATTTGTAATATTATAATTTGTTGTTGCTCTTCAGCATATTAATGTTACCACTGAAGTAGCAATACATAACCTGTTGTGACTCGTGATACTTCAATTACTTAACTAAATCAAGTATATGGGAGGTAATATTGGTACAAGAAAAAACACATAGCTCATAACTCTTGGAAAATCTAAGACATTGATTTCGAAACATTACAAGCAAGTCCTCAATGAAGTTATTTTATAGGCGATAATGGAAGAACAATGTTCAATCACTTCAATGAGCTGGCTAAGTCGTATTACTCGTATAACAGCCGCAACTGCGCAACCTCGTACCCAGGTCCTTCTAGGGAGGGAGAGAAGATTAAGAGATGCTTTGCGATGGTTGCAGAGACATGGTTGCTTTTGTGTTTTAATACACGGTGTAAGGAATGGATAGATTTTCTTGGATATCAAGTAATACTCCACTAAACACAGGAGAAGAACTTGTTATACAACAACGTGGCTTACGAATTTATGACGGAGAAAACAAGGTAAAAAATATGCCATAATTTAATAGGTTCACTAGAGTACACTACTGGTTTAGGGAGTGCTACACGCGTAAAAATCATCATGTTGATGCATTTTGTTAAAAACAGGAGTGAACAAATTATTTTGTGCTGCACCCTGTGAACAGTATTGTTTACAATGTTGTTGAAGCTTGTTGAATCATGTTGTTGCAACTTGTTACAACAACATTGCATCGTGATTGCAACAACATTGATGATTCAACAAGCTTCAACAACATTGTTAACAATACTGTTCACAGGATGTAGCACAGCATTTTTCACCCCTGATGCGACAACCTGATCAATCTTTGGCTGTGTAGGTTACAAGTGTTTTCTAGATGACCAGCACTTACTAGATGACTGGAGCTTTCTCAATGCCTACAGTATAAGGTTTTACAATTGAGAAAAATTTCTTTCAAAATGACCACCGCTGATGAGGATCAGTTTTATGCATTCTTTTCGATTTTAGTTCTTTGTCTCTCCCCTCGGTCATTATACAGTTGCCGCAATAGAAGTGTTCGGAAAAATATCTAATCCTATTGGATAATGACTAAGTAGACGCATATGATTAGTCAATTCGAAAAGGAAGTTAGGAATTTTTCAAACATTTCATGAATTTCGTAAGCCAACTGATAAATCTGAGCAAATGCATTACTCAATATTTTTTAGAACACTTCTATTGCTACGACTGTAAAAGTAATTTCAAATTAATACTATAGCATTAAATGTGGTATAACAACTGCCTAAAATAAACAAAACACTTCTTGATGTTTCGAGTTGAGCGCCTTCATCAGGAGAGTTAGTATGGTCCATACTAATTACTGGTCCAACTTAGTAAGGTACATACTAACTGAAAAAGGCCCTCAGGTCGAAATGTTGAGAAGTGTTTTGTCTATTTTAGGCAGTTGTTATACCACATTTGATGCTAAGTTGTTTGAAGACGGTGCCACGCTGCTCCCTGGTTATACATTGGAACGTATCAAATTAATAATACTTCACATTTTTTAAGAATTACATAAAGTATTTACTTGTAAATTTAACTCTGATAATCTTCAGGGCTTATTGCAAATGAAGTATAACTATTTCTCTCTTAAATATTTTAGACAAATTTTGATAATGGGAACTTAATATTGACTTCATTTTCTTTAATATGGGAAGATGAAGAGCAACAGGTAAATTGATTTTAAATTAAATCAGTATTTTTTTTGCTCTTTTGTTTACATTGTTTTACGACTATAGGATAGGAGAATTCAATTGTATCTTGAATTAATTATAAGAATAGAAGAACAAGCAGCTGGGTTCATGAAAAGGTAACAACAATTGATTTCTAAGTACATAAAGTTCTTCTTGAAAATTTTCATGGCTGAAGATGTTATCTCTACAAGGTACATAAATTCATTTCTGTATAACTTTCTGTCTTATAAAGTTATTTCCATCTCACCTGGGCAATACCTTATAGGGAAGAAATTTTTCATGGTTATATCTCAAACAATAAATAATATATATATGTTATAGTAAATCTTTTTCAACAAAGTAATATATTATTTTTAGTGCCAAATTATTGTTACATTTAAATTCACCGCCAGCCACAAAAGATCCTGGTCCATTTAATTCAAGTTCATTTACTTACATAAAATTATCATTTCGCTCTGGTGGTCACATTGAGGTATTTTTTAATAAGAAATATGATCATGGATGATTGATTATGATAAGTGTTTAAATGTGCCCAAAAGATATCTTGATCTTCCGAGGCTTGAAGGATTATGTCAGCTGAAAAGCTGTTCTGTCAATTATAATAAACCAGCCTTTTTCCTTCTATATTTTGTGCATAAAAATATTTTATTCCCGACTGTTTTCTATACATTTAGTTCCACAAATTATTAAAACAACAGTTGCAGAAAAAGGCTTGGATACAACGGAAGCCAAAAGAGAATGCTCCTTCCAAAGTAAGTTGTAAATATTATTTATATTTTTGTCTTTTTCATGGGGTATAAACAACTTTCTTCATAAAGCACTCAAGCATTGCATTTTGCTTATATTGATATCAGTTATAAAGTTGTATTCAAGACGTGCCTATCGCAAGTTTGGAACCCGAGGACGTAGAGTCGTCTATGCAAATGGTAAAACACCTGAAATCATTACAGACAAGGTGTTCTATTTGCATTCGTAGTAACGGAAGCCTTATATATACATCCGTGTACTGCATATACCAATTAATCACTGTTTCAAACTATGACCAGCAGAGCATATACTTCACAATGTAATAGATAATGAAATGGTACATTTACTGTACAATTCTCAGCTCAGCTAATGGACAAATCTTATCGTAGCTTTTCTTCACAACTGGACATCACAGATTCAAATTATTTTTATCGAAGTCCGGGTGCAAATTTTCCTTCTCTTTTACGACGACCTCAAATGATCCAAAGGGAAACTGCAACAACAGTTCGACTAAAACGTCCTATTAGTGTTAACTTACTTACGTTGTGATCATTTCTCCAAATTTCAAAAAATGTAAACTTGTATGTATGATTAATTTTAAATATAGCTATATTTCATTGTATTTGAACGTACGATGCTGTATTTCGGTATAGATTTTTGTCGTACGCTTGACAATTTTCATCATTACGGTCTTACCTGTGATTGTATTTGCAGATTTATTCGTGGTAATGTTGAGCATTTTAAAAGTTGCTTGTGTGAGATTTTGTTTTTTCCTATGCAGGGCTTAATACTATGAAGTAGTTTGTTTCATAAGTCCCACTGCTCATCATATTAACATATCTTTCCTTAAATTACTATAAATATGTCCTTGCGGTCGTGTTTCAAAAGATTATGGGTTTTTGCAGGTCCATAGACGAGGTCCTGGGATTGTTGGAATTGAACGAAATTTAGAAGAAAAATCGCGTGCAACAGACAAAACTATCAGTCAGGTACATTTTCTCCAAAAAAGTATATCTGTTATACACTTGTTTAAAGGAGACTGAAACCTTTGCCTGGAAAGGAATTTAAACTCTTATAGTAAATGAAAGATAATAATGCGTGAAAAGCTTTTGTTTGTCCTTCTATTATATGTGTGGTTTTTGTGTTCGGTATTATAATTGAAATATGCACTAGTTGATCAACTTGGCATTTAGGCATTCAAAGATCTGGACGGTTTAATGGAAAAGGTATGTTTGATAAAAAAAAAGCTAATGGCGAGTCGACCATTCAGTGGCGTAGCCATCCCGACAATTTGGTCATGCTATTCTAATATTTTAGTGTTTATTGACTGTGAAAACAATGAAATTCTAAAAAAACGAATGATGAATGATAATAACATCAAATTTGCATAGCAGGACTAAATCTTCAGGCTGGCTATACGACACTGCGACCATTTAAATTTTTTTGTTGGCTTTTTTGTATTATCAAGGAATAGCAGCAGTGTTGTGGTAAATATTTTTTCTATTTTTTACCCTATATTCCCCTCCACTCCTCTCTTCCACTTTTCAGAACTCTTTTACTCCTCTCGACTATATAAAACTTCAATTTAAATTGTGAGCTGTACAGTTGGATCTTTTAGGCCAAAGAGATGGTTGCTTTAGCAGATAAGTTTGCATCAAAAATAGAAGAAAAGAAAGGAAGCATAACTGAAGATGAAGTAAGCGAGAACTTTTATTTCAAATTGCTTGATAGTCTTTCAAAACACGTATATTTATAAATAAATTGGAAAATGTACACTGTATTAAATACAAAGTTTTAAAAAATAAGTTAGTTAACATGTAGGAATGATCTTTTTTAGACTATTTTATTCAAATCCTATCTTCTTAGTGTTGGAATTTCAAACCCTGTAACCAGGTTAGTTCTGTCTGACTAAGAGGCCAGAGAAGTTCAGTGGAAGGCTAAAAGCATATCAATCCGTGTCCAAAAAAATTAGCTGTACTGGTATTATAATAATTTGAAAAGTTTTTTGAAAAATATTTACTGATTGCATTGGCTAAAATAGATTTCAATCTTGCAAATGATTTACTCTAGTCTATATAATAAGATTCACCGTAATGCCCATTGGCGGATCTAGGGTTATAGTCACAATAAATTATATATGGCCTAAATTTAAAACAGCTTAATAACAACTCTGTTGGTTATGTATTTCAAAAGAATATTTTTAAAACCTAATAATTCGATCGCGAATTCAATCTGCAGTACTTAATTTATTCTGCTTAACCTGGATTGATCTGAAGTTACAGATGTGATACGTTCACGGCAACCAGTACATAATCCATCGCTATTATCTTTACTCTGGTTTAAAATAATGTTTAATCATTTATCATTATAGAGAAACCCATGGTACCGGGACAACATACCATAATGAATTGGCAAAGCAACTAGAAATCTTTTTGAGAGAGCAATTGAAGGTTTGTCGTGTACGAGCACTAGCCCATTCTAATATTTTTAGCCCTAACGTTTAACCCACCTAACAATGCTGTAAAAAATGGTGAAGTCTTTCTTTCTGGCTGAGGTCAAGGTTTTTATGAAAACTATAGTGATTCCGAAAACTGGTTTGAAAATGTTTATGTTTCTTAAGATTTCCAAGATCATTGGGGGACGCGTATACACACTATTTAATGGGTTATCATGCACTACCATGCAGCCAGCAATTTAGCACCCATGCTTCCTTGCTGCATTGGTAGTGGAAATCAAATCTGGTACCTGCATGCCTATACGGGTATTGTGACACATTGATGAAGATTATTTTCTACATAATTGCTTTAATAATTTTGTTAGGAAGCTGGTGGTATGATGACGTTGACAGACGTATATTGTAGATTTAACCGTGCACGAGGAATGGAGGTGATTTTTTTAGTAAAAAAATACAATGGGTTTACGTGTAGCTGAAACTTCTAAATTGAAGTATACCAATTTGTTAAATATTGTGATGTTACATATTGTGATGTTTCAGCTAGTTTCTCCTGAAGATTTGGTTAATGCATCACGACAGTTTGAGTCTCTTAAACTTCCATTGAGGTAACAACTGAAACAATTAAAAATAGTCCGAAATCTTCCATTCTTTTTAATGTATCCGGCAAATTTGAACTATAGATAAGCGCAAGCCCTCCCCGCAAGCAAGCATGCGAGTGCATGTTTTATTAGTTGAAAAGAGCTTTCTTAAAATTTTCTACAGACTGCGCTCATTCGACAGTGGCGTGTTGGTTATTCAGTCTTCAAATCATAGTGACGAAGAAGTTATTAGAGATACAAGGGATAAAGTATGTCAGTTTACTTTAACTTTATTAATTTTTTTGCCCATCACTGCAACAGCGACACGTTGTTTAAAAAGTTATATTCATAATTTTTCTTGTATGATTGCATGGCGACTTTAGTAATTATAATAACTTGTAGGTACTTACGTGGTGTACCTACAAGTTATTATAATTAAGTTATATTCAGTTTACTAGATCTAATGAAACATCTGCCCATCCATGCATTGTCATACAAAATTACTATTAAGTGTATATTATTAGATTTGCTTTTTGCTTCATTTTTAGTTATTTTCTAATAAGTGCTTGACAGCAGATGAACTCTCGAAAATTCTTGGTTTGTCAGTCATGCTTGCTAAGGAAAGGTGATTATGTACTTGTATATATATTGAATATTTTCGCATGCAATTGTTGACCAAATTTAAAAGCATTTAAAATCTGTAAAAATCTCCGTGTGTGTACGTGGGTGAGATAAACACGTAATGTAATGTAAAATGACAGTACGTAACTGAAACTGAGCAGCCCTTAGAATTTTTTGTGTGTTTTTTATACAATTGTTCTCAGTTACTGAAAACTCACTTATGTATCGCTTATAATAGCTAAACGTTTTACTGTTTTCTTATAGGTTGCTTGTTACAGAGAAAGTAGGCAAAGCATGTCGAGATGATTCTGTGGAAGGTTTAAAGTTTTATCCCAACTTCTTTCTTGAAACACCCGTTGAATAAAACCCCGACTACAAAATCATCCACCTTAATGCTTACAAAAACTATAGTGCAGTTACAATTGATTTGGTCACTGGTTTGGATGCATTTGACTGGCCAGTCTTAATGGAAAGAAAAGAAGGAAAGAACTTTTCAACCACCGGACCACCAGTGTCGGTGCCAAATAATTCGTGTTTGACGTAATATAATGTTAAAAGATTTGCTGAGAAGAACTATATTTTGTTGCAATAGTGTTACTTTAGTCGATATCTATAGATCTTAATTCACAATTAATCAACTTTCACCTTACAGTTTTGAAAGTCTTCTGTTTCATCGATATCTCGTGCTGTGTACGTCGGGAGTATTCCCTACACAACATTTGTATTTGGAGGGATAATAGGGGATAAACAGTGAACTATAATAAATAACTGGAACGATACCTCCTCATTGTTTTTGTGAAGCCAAAATTTGCGGGACTTTACCTCCAGACACGCGTGTCTGGAGGTAAAGTCTCGCAAATTTTGGCAAATTTTTGGCTTCATTCGCGCGTGACTCGCGAGACACTGCAGATGCAGAGCGAATTTGAAAGAAATTTGATTTTTTGTTTGTTTCATGGTTTTAAATGGGTTTTTTTATGGAATTATAATGGAATTACAATGGAATTACTCTTAAATTCAACCAGGTGAACTGTTTTACGAATTACAACTGGAGTTGCCGATCAGATTGGAAACAAATTTTCTTAAACGGAACAAGTTTATAGCGATGTGCAATTTTGACAACAATATTTGTACGCAACGGATATCCTAAAGCTAAAATTTCATCGCAAAATACACTTGGTAGACATTGTTCAATATTATAAGTTTATATTTACTTAATTTCAAGTGACTAGATGGCAAAAAAGTTGTATTAATTGTAAAGTAAAACAAATATTCCTGCATTGTCACGCTAGGCTCTACGCTTTTTCCTAGCAAAGAACCGTCTTACTCCGCATTTCCAATAATAGGTCCATAAAATGCATTCTACCAACATCAAGAATGTCTCAGCCGGCTGTAAGCACTAACAAAATCAGTTATTTAACTCCCTAAAAAAATTTTTCGGGGAGTTTTTATCAAATTTACGAAATCACAAAAAAACATTTTAATTTGGCCGTGTTTGTTTTTGCGTGTAAAGACTGGGTGTGACTTAGCTTCAACTTCCTGTCAGAAGGTAGCGTTCCAGTTATATTTATTTCACTGGGGATAAAAGTGCGCCTGATATGGTAATCCCCACTGAGCTATATAGGCCATAATTCCCGAATAATTGGAAATTATATGATATAGCTCTCCTTCAGTCAAAACCAAGTTAAAATGATTGTATTCTTGTGTTACTGATTTCTGGTCCGTCAAACCTAGCTTTTTAACTTTGATAGCCTGAATCTCTCCAACAGAAAATGAGTTGTTGGGTTGGTTCTTTATCACTTTCGTTGTAGTTTCTGTTTCTTACAGACTGACAGTGACTGATGTCTTCTGTACGTTGGGCATTTTGTACCAAAAAGTGGATTCCTACAAAATCGGTCAGTATGTATTTTTGTAAAAATAGACTCGTAATATAATATAGACTTCAAATATAAATTAAATTATTATACATTAATTATTAATTAATATGAAGCTTTTCATTTTGATAATGCTTTGTATATACTATTTTTCTCTGCTATTTTCCAATATGATATTGTTGGTACAGTAATTTTATTTTTTCCCAAAGGAGTGGTTACATGCATTGGCTTGCATTCAAGATGAAGAAAGAGATCGTGTTATGAAATTTGTTTACAAGAAAGATGCAAAGTCAGCATTGGTATGCATGAAATTTTGCATGTTGTTATACCTAATATTGTAAGGGTTTTATAAGGGTAGTTGATGATGGCTAGTCTCTCCTGGTCTCTATGCCATTTGTAGAATACAGGCACCAATAATGCTGGATTCTGCACCAGGCCCGTATTGTTTGTCCTTTTGATATCCCTATATCACCCACAATCACACCCTGTGATGTAGCCTGATCCACTCAAATGTTATATTTCACCCTCACATATAGTCTTCACATCCACACACAATGCTACCTCGTTTTATTTTCAAATATAATCTACATGGACAGCTAGTAGACCACTACCTTGCTTATATAGTCTTTCACATCCACACACCACGCTACCTTGTTTTGTTCTGATATATGATCTTTCACATTGATACACAACTCAGCATACAGACCTTGCATGCATGATGCTTCCTTGCAGTCTGGTTATCCATGCAACATTTTGCCTATTTTATTAAGATTGGTCGACTGTTGTTGAAAAAAGTTATCGTTGAGAATACCAGTATTCCATATTCTGCTATCAAGCTTGGCAGAACAGAAAGAGGAAAACCTTACTTAGTATGTGATCATAGTATATGTTCTCATATTCAATGAATTTTCAAAAGAAAAAAATTAACAAGCAATTAATAGCATCATTTCTTTTTGTGTGGGAATATATGCATGTAAAAGCAAACGTTTAGCTGTATTATATCAAGGTTTATCAAGATGTTTTAACTGATTTAATTCAAACACTATGTATAGCTGTACTGTAAAAGTGCTGCTTGCCTTTCTAGGAGTTTGTATACTTATTTTCTTAAACATTATTTCTTTCAGTTACATGCAAAAGAAAGCCTGAACTTCAACATCTCTCATCAGGTATGCAAAATAATTCCAATTACGTACAAATTGCTTTTAATAATCTCTTCAAGATTTTGAATAGATCAATTTTTATTTTTAACAGGGTGATTTTGTTGTTCTAGCTGCGGAATCATCTAGAAATGGTAACTGCACGATTATTTCATATTAACTACAATAAAGACTTACAATCATTTGACATTTCAATTTGCAGCACAATTACCACAACCCAGAATCATTCACATTGATGATAGCATAAGATTAAGCACATTTGATCATATTTTAAATGTTAATTTGCGCTCTATAAATTTTAATTATTATTATAGTCTCTCCCACATTCCAGCCATTTCTCGTATCTATATTTTTTCAAATACTTTTGTATAATTGGGATTAGTCAATACTAGTTTGCATTTTTATAGTTGGAGTTGATGTTATGAAGACAGAGATTAAAGGTTTAAAACTGTCAACATGAAATATTTGTGCCAAAATATTTGCATTTTTAGTTTTTTAGTTACATATTTGCTGTTTTCCATTTACAGGTAATCAAACAATACCGGAATTCTTTCACACAATGAGACGTCAATTTACTCCACATGAGTGGCAAACTATAAAACAAAATCCCTCCGATTTCAAACAGTTGGAAATGTTTATGAGGCATTGGGTGGGTTTTGATTCATCCCTGTTGATGAAGCTACAATATTGGCATTTGGAAGATTGTCAAAAATTATGCCTCCCATTCAATGTTGTCCTTAATTCGACACAGAATGCCTGTGCATCTTTACGAAAGCACAAAAATTAATAGTTGAAGCATTATGAACCGCCATTCAAAGCGGAGGAAGGAAGGGGGTCGGCGAAAGGACAGAGCGGAGGTCAAAGCAATAGTTAGCAAACTAAGAGAATGGTGTCATCGATTCACTATACATCAGTGGGTCTAAGGACTTTAGCCTGGATCTCACTTGATCTCACTGGGTTTTTCCTTCTGCGTTCGTGTGTGATTGACACTTTCGTTAATATGTTAGCCACTAGCAACTTACTTGAACAACAAGCCTAAATGATTGATGCATTTTGTGGGATTCCATTCATTGACGCAGGAAATTTTTCTTTTTTTGTAGTGTTTAAAAGAAAGTTACGTGAAAGCTCTTGGTGTTGGTATTGGTTTGTTAAAGAAACTTCAGTTTATGGAATTTCACATCGCACCTCAGTCTACTGAACTGAATGATAGGGTCAGTAGAGTTTACTTACTGTCTTGTAGGTCTGCATAAAAAAATATTTTCCTGAGGTCCTTTTTCCACCAGTCATCGTTCGGTCGTACTATAATTATTTAGTCAAAAATCAAAACTTCTTTAATTTGATTGACTAAAATCACTTCGTTAAAAGTTGGCAAAGAAATTTTTAGGGAAACAAGACTAGGCTTCGCTCGAGCAAAAGAAAGATTACCGGTAGAGTGGTCAGATCACAGTCAGATATCGTAAAATTCTGCCCGCACCTTCAGCTAATCGGCCTATTTGTTTTAAGATATTTTGAAATATGGACTAAATGTATATATCGAAGTTTAATTTACCAAATATCGTCCACTACCAGTTTTGGTAAGAAAACTTGATATATCCTAGCTCAACCTATGATATTGAGCACTGGATACTCAGACTCTCGCCCCTCTTTTCCTAATTTAAACCTACAATTACAACCTCGAATTTACTGTTTGTCAAATACATAGACTCAATTTTATTCATATTTTTATCACATGGGGATCATTGCAATTGGATCGAAATTTTTCCATGTAACTGAATATCCGTAAAATGTCAACCAACGAAACATTTCAAGTCAACAGTGAAGTGCTTTTGAAACTTTTAGGAAGTGGCATGGATACAAAACTTTTTTTGGAAAGTAAGCCATGTGATGAGTGGTGTTTTCAAGAAACAAAATTAGACGAAGATGTAAGTGCCATATAGATTAAATCTTAAAAAAATGATTTGAGATTAAAATATTTCTCTTATAAATCCTTCTATTAATTAGGAAACTGAAACAAACGTAAAATAAGGTAGTGCATCGTGAAAAAAACAATGCTAAATGAAGGGAGAAGGGGGATCTGCTTTTTTATCACTCGTTAGACTCTCATTAGCTAAGTTTCAGCAGGAAGTTAAAATGGTTTGGAATTTTTCTAAATGACGTTCAGGGTTTAATACACCCACTGGAATCAGAAAATAGCCTGTTCATCAGACTTTGTTAGTAGTGTCTTCTCACGGTATATCTTCACAAAACTAAATCAACCATTATCATCAACAACTCATAAAGTTAACTTGAATTATTTAATAGCGATTAAACGTTCATTCCTAAGTAAACTTCTTTAGAATTAAGTCCTATTATGAGTATTATCGGATGAAAATATAGCCTAATTTTATAGTTGTTCTTTGCGCAATTGATTTTTGTATCTTTAGCATCAAGTAGTGGTGGCATTACATCAATCAAATTCACCTCAAGAGAATGAAAATTTGCAGTAAGTCATGTGTGTTATGAAAGTGTATGATGTTATATACGAAAAATGGATGATTTGAGTCTGGACTAACTGGAGTGTTCCATGTCGAGGGCACTGTTTGCATTGCACTCACTATATCGTCGCAACATAATATGGGCTGATGGGCATAATATACCCGTGTTGTGACTATAAACTGAGTGTAGTTTAAACTTGAAGTCACCGACTGTGGATCCAGCAATCCAAGTTAGTGCAGTTCTTGAAAAGACTATCGTGATCCTGCTTCGTCCTTGGGCGCTTTGGTTCTAAAAAGGTTTTGCTATAGCTAAGTCGCTGTACATAGAAAAGTTTACATAAAGCAATGCCTTGAGTCGAGATGTTGTGAGCATGCAAAAAATATCTTTTAGAAGCAAAGCGTCTGCATGAGTATACGTTTTTCAAATTATTTTAGAAATGGAACATTCATACTGTTAACGATCAAAGATTTACTCCCTCCTTCAATGTCATTTCAAACTGTTAACGAAATGTTTTGGAAAGAGTTTGAAGAAAAAAGTGAAAGCTCTTGATAAACATGACAAGCATTCTACCATCTTTGCATTGAAGAGTACTCCTAATATGGCGTCTAATACCAATGGACAAAATTAATTTGTGCAGCTTACGTTGCCCTTTCAGTTTCGTGCATTGCAGAAAGGATCATGTAAAGACTAAAGCTATACAGCGTCTGCATTTTATGTGGAATTCTTTAATTGATTCTTCCGCTTCTTTGGCGCATGGTCAACCTTTATTATTATAAACCTGATTGGGTAAAGCAGGTAGTCTGACTGGGGTATTTACAGGATGTAATTAGCGCCAGTGATGGAATACCTGGGAATTTTGAGGGATGTAATTGGTGCCACTATTGAACACCTAGGGATGTTTGAGGATGTAATCAAGTGCCATTATGGAACACCTAGGAGATCGGTTTAGAGGATGTAATTGGCACCACCACTATTGATAACTGGGGATGTTGAGAAGATGTAAATAGTGCCACTGTGAAACATTGGAGGATTCTATTTCTGCCACAATGGAATACCTGGGGTTGTTTGGAGGATTTAATTTCCGCCACTATGGAATACATGGGGTTGTTTGGAGGATTTAATTGTTCACTATGGGACACCTGCCATATAAAAACAAGGTAAACCTGTATGGAGAGATTCTTATTTTTTATGCATGGTTCATATACACTCATTGTTGAATAGATCACATGCTTGATTATACAATTACTTAATGGTTTCCGTGTTTGGATGGCCTGATCCAAACACGCGGGAATGTTGCGAGACTTAAGAAAAGCGCGCGAATTGTTTCATAAAATAGCAACGACAAGGCCTGAATTTAAATTTAAATTCTTTAAAACTTTAAATTTCCGTGTTTGGATGACCTGATCCAAACACGGGATTAGACCAATCAGAACACGTGTTATATACATGTTATTTATAATTGTGTTTGGGTAAGTTTTCACTGAGTGCTTCAGTTACGCTAGCTTCAAAGGTTATAACTATATATCTTATTTAAACCACGTTATTTTTTATTCCCCATTGCTTCTAAAAGTCTCAGTCGTTTTAACCATTTTCGAATGGTACATTTCTCTTTGATATCATTCTTTAAATAATGATAATTTAGTTTCAAAACTTTTATTTACAAGACTCCCTGCTACCATACATAAAATGTAATATCATACAAAAAAGGTATATCGCTGTTATTATGTTATTTTTCATATATGCATGCTTATCTTCTTTTCTGCCTATTCTTTAACTACCATTTATTCTGACACAATTTTGCTCAATGACATCGTTTTAGAATTACTTCATCATCGAGCTTAATAAAATATTAAATTTATTTCCGGCCTAAGTTTCTTCCACTTGTGTTTCTGTGCTTTTAATTTTTCATTTCATTTTTTACTCCTAATACCGCATTTCGCGTCTACTTATATTTACACACGCATTGCTATTTTTTCCTCCCTCAACTTGATCGAGAAAGCCTCAAGCTTTCGCCTTGTACTGCATTTTTAATCCTTGAAAAGTAATCTTTTGACCATAGCCGCCGACATATAACATGCATTAGCTATAGAAGGAAAAATTCTCCCGATAAAACTGCGTGTCTGACTCGTGGATAAATACGCATTGGAAAAACTGCTTAATACATGCACGTGCAATAAATAATAGGATTTTCAGAACACGTGTTTTTATCCTATTTGTATCATGCATGCGTACTTCACATTATGCGTATTCCAAACAACGGTTTAAAACTGCACATTTAGTACTGGATATTTTAGTATTTCGCCTGTTCACCCCGTTTAACCTTAGAACAGCTGGTTTCTACAGGGTGTATGAGAAAAAACGCAAACATGATACTGATAGTTCCCAGGGGCCTACGATCTTCTATTATTTGAAAAAAGCAAATACCTCTGAATATTTAGTGTTGCATTTTTTTTGTATATCCTTGTTTATCCTTGTACAGGGAAAATATTTCCTGTTTTATGCAGGACTAGCTCCTTTTTTTAGCATATCTTCCATGCTTGTATTGGTTTTAGTTTCTCTTACTTTAAGGATAATCCATTGAGATTATTAATGAATTATGGTAAGAAAATGGCAAATGTTTATAAATCACCTTTAGAATCACACGTGGCACCCATTGGGGAAATGATCTTGCAAAATCCGAGAGAATCTAAATTGTAATTGTCATCAGTTTACTACCCCTTTGAACTAATTTATTTCCTACGTTATAACTCATCATAATCTAGTGTGGGCTATCTCTATCGAGATGCAGATATCGACGTTTTATATTTTCTACAGAAACCAAAGGGAATTTGTGTTTTTATGTTTATACCTTGAAGGAAACGTCATCAAACTGGCCAATTTTCAAATCCAATTACCCAAAAGAGAATGACAAAAATCCAATTGTTACAGGAATTTCTCCCGTTCCTTATGTAATCGCCCTGACTTATAAATTATAATATGACATTAGACAAAGGCAGTTGCTTAGCATGCAACACGTGTTGGGAAAATAAATCTCAGCCAATCAGCCATAATCCCAGCAAAAATCAAGCGTATCTTTGAAATAAATCTTCCGTATACACTCCGACAATATAATGAATATATTACGTGGTCAAGGACCAATTTCTTTCATTCTAAGATTTATCGCTTGTGAAGATACATTAGAAGATCCAGAATGTTTCATTATATAATTCTAATCATTCTCACTCTCGTAATATATTTCAAGTTTTTAAAAAAATCTCCACGACACATTTTGGTTGATAGCAATAAATGTGTGTTCATTACTGGCTGTGATTCTGGTTTTGGTCTAAACGCTGCGAAACAACTCGATTCCATCGGGTTTACAGTCATTGCGACGTGTTTAACTGACAAGGGAGAGCAGATACTCCGCGAAAGTTGTAGCAAGAATTTACATGTTATAAAGATGGATGTCACTGACACGAAGCAAGTTCAAGCTGCTTTTGACTATGTTAAAAACACAATGAAATCAGAGAAAGGTAATATGGTACATATGCGTCTCATAGAAAATATACCTTTCGGAAATTTAGCGTGATACAATACTTAGCTCAACTTATACTTAACTAACAATACTTAGGGCCTGTTTATATGATCCCGTCTAGTCGGGACGGGATGTTTTCATCCCGCTTAATTAGCCGGGAAAATCGCCTAGGCGGGATGGCGTGTTTATGTGGACCCCATTATGTAGTTCGACGTCGACAGGTTCGTTCGACGGCATGTTTTATTGTAGAAAACGAATATCATATGCCAATATATACACATGCTCCAAATGTATGTTTATCGCAATCATCCCGGCCAAGCGGGATGGAGTGTTTAATATATGGCAATTTCTCGTCCCGTCTAAGCAAACCGTGGTCTAAGCGGGATACCTGTGACACCGGATCCCGGAAAGTGGTCATATAAACACTATAGTATGACTGGTTATATTGGAATGATAAACTGAACTTTATATAATAGCTTAAAAGTAGCTAAAACTGAATTTATGTTGATGAGCTCTCCCAAATGATAAAGAATGCCTCGTATGTTCGACCAAATATTTTAATTGAGGACAAACAAATCCAACAGGTGTAAACAAAGCCAAAACTCTAGGAATAATCCCAGCTCTAGGTCGTGTCAAATCATTTATTGCTGAGAGAGATGCACTTATGTCCATATACAATGCCATTGTTCATCCCTACTTAGAAGTTTGGATATATTTGGTGACATGCAATCAAAACAATTACAAAAGCTCCAAAACAGAACTGCTTGAATTATTTGAAATATGAGCAATGATGTACATCAGTCTATTGCTTTGTGTGCCTTGGGCTGGGAGCAATTTCATATGATGAGGAAAAAGGCAAATACAAAAATGATGTACAAAACTTTAAATAAAATGGGGTTTTAGTCTCTGACAAACCTCTTTCATTATTGTAATTTCTTCTTATGACATGACCCCTATTGAAATCAGCTTTGGTTGATAAGGTTAGAATGTGAAAATGCAAGGTATAATGTCACTCATACCCTATTTATATTCAACCATTCACTATTTATATTTGTGAACTTAAAATGTAGCTTTGCTAGGGCATTAGTAAGAGAATATAGAAAACACTCACAAAAAGCAAAAAAGAGGGTTAATTAATTTACAACTGTGTTTTCATTAATTGTCACTTGGTTATCTTATCCAGTGTTTTAAGTGGGGTCTAATATATTTTTTTTCAAGGTCTATGGGCGGTGATCAACAATGCTGGTGTTTCTAGAATTGGACCTCTGGATTGGCAGACACTGGATGACATGAAGAACATGGCTGACATAAATTTGTGGGGATTAATTGATGTCACTAAAACATTTCTGCCACTTTTAAAAATCTCTGCTGGACGTCTAGTGAACATTGGAAGCATTGGAGGTAAGATCAACATTTATTGTGATTTACATTCTACACAAATGTATCTTGTTTTCCACAAATAAATACCTCTTATGTATTTAGGTCGTCTAAGCCTTCCTTACATGGGTGCATATTGTGCAAGTAAATTTGCAGTTGAAGCATTTACAGATGCATTGCGTGTTGAGTTGTGCCACTGGGGGATGAAGATTATTCTCATCGAACCTGGGTTCTTTAAAACTAACATGACGGAAAAGGATACATTAGGTTCTCAATATGATCAAATGTGGTCAAAATTGTCTCAAATTAAGAAACTGGAATATGGAGAGGAGTTCCTTCAGAAAAGTAAGTAGTACATACTACTCAAGCTATCTGCTGAAAACCTTCAACTCAGAAATGGTGGGTCAGGGATGTAGCCTGACCTTAAAGAGGAGGGGAGCCGTGAGGCTAGAGTTTCAGCTCGTCTAACGGGCCAAAAGTATTTTTCAATTACATGGAAAGTTTCTGTTCAGGCTGAGTTTATAACATGTCTGTTTAGCTTAAAGGGTGGATAAGTCAAATTTAAAAACCACTCTTACATCTCTCTTAAATGAGTCAACTTAAATATTATGCACTGAATATGTAGTTGTAAACAGTATCCTTGTATTAAGGTTAAAAACATTTAGTTTACTTCTTGAATAAAATGAAAGACTTGCTTTCTATTTTGAACCTAACTAAATTAATAAAACAACTCCCCCCCTGGCTAAGTCCATGTGGTGGGTTATGGTAATCTATTCTGCCCTTTACAAGTCAGAAAATTGCTTTAACTAAATTTTTTGTAGTTAGTCAACTCTTTTTATCACTAATTTCTAACGGATTCAAAATTTAAGGTTGTATGTATGTTTTAGAAAGACGGTCTATGTTGCATCATCTGTGCTCCACACCTCTGCAAAACATAGAAAAAACACATTTCTATCCGCTAATCCGCCCGCGTCCGTTGACATGCAGAGTCTTATTATTGTATCATATTTTTAGCCAAAGACAATATGTTATCTGGGGTCGTCGACACCTGTGTATCTCCCAATGTCTTTGTGGTCACTGAGGCAGTTGTAGATGCTGTTACATCATTGAATCCTAGGATTCGCTACGTGCTTGGTTGGGATGCGCGTTTCATTTGGTTGTGGCTTTCAAGATTGCCGTCTGGTATTTCAGATTTCTTAAAGCGCCATGTATCAAAAATTGAAATTCCTGCCAAGCTAAGAGGATCGAATTAGGACATAAAATATATAAGCAGATTATTTCCAATGCAGGGACCGAGTGATAACAAGTTAAATATTTTCTCTCGTAGTTGGCCATGGTGATGCCTATTAAATCACGGTTGCTTTGTAATCTTACATATTATAAACATTTTACTGATTTTAGATTATTAAAAATGTAGGATTTCATGGGGTTAGCTGAAACTGTCACTGAAACTGTCACTGAGGCATGAAGTATAGTTTAATTCAAGCTTTCCTGGTAGGATTTTTGAATCATATTATATACAAACACACATTGCTCCAGTCACATGCATGTGCCCCACCTTTTTTCTTTCATCCTCTCGCTAACCATGAAAGCAATTAAATCATTCAAATTTCCGTCCCTTTGTATGGTAATGTGAAGGTTGGTTTCGTCGTAATTCTGTAGAAGTCGGGCTTTCCGAATGCGCCGTACGTAGGAATCCACAACAAGTTACATGTGATTCACGACTAATTACAAAGTATGCAAACCAGGTTTTTAAAGTTCGTAAGAAAAAACTGAATATTGAAGTTTCGTTTACTATAATTCCTTATAGTTTTATATTACTTATATATATGAGTAAATACTCTTCAAACGAAGTATTAAAAATTGCACGTATATATATTATACATGCATGCAGCACTATGTATCTCTAAAATATTCCATGACCACACTTATTACTAATAACTAAGTATATACTATTAGTAAAAACAGTTATCCGAAATTACACACGTCAAAACTTAAGCTATACTTGTAGTAAGTTCCGATACATAACACATAAATTTGAAAAACCTAAAAGTATACTGCATGAAGTCGAGGAAAATCTTGTTATGCGGAACAAGCTGAGATCGCATTATTGCACTGATAATCAGCCTGGACCTTAAATAACTGGTAGTTTGTAGTACATATGCACAGTCGATATCTCATGCCAGAGTAACCATTGCTGGGTTTTACACTTCCAGGAACGTTCTTGAAGGTATATTTTGAAGATACAGGGTTAAACGTCAACACGTCCTAATGAAGAGAAAATATCTAAGTCTAAGAAACTAATCAAAACTATAAACAATAATGTTTGGGTTGGGGTGGTCTTCTAACAAGGTGGGCCTTTCAAAAGTAACTGTGTGCGACACGTTTTGAAAACATAGGACACCATACACCATATTATTTTCAAATGAATAATTAGATATTTTGCATAATCATATCTGAATCGATTTGTTGAACTTAATTGGGAAACGTCCTTATTTTGAACGACTAGTCCTTGCGACTATCGCATTTTAACAAACGTACCAAACAATTTGAATTATATATAGATAATCATACATGCGGAAATATGGATATATTTCGAGTGTTGAGAATAATATCGAACAAGTTAGCGCATCTGTTTATTATATAATAAAAAACTGGGTTTTTTTAAATTTTTATCCCCCTTCCTGATTCCAGATCGGTGGATCAAAAACGATAATCGCACATGAAATTGTGTTATTATCATGAAAAATCGCACATTAAACTTCACAATCGTCGTTATTCATTCAAAGCTTTTTTACGGCGGTTGAAAAAGCCACTATCCAGTGGCAGTGGATAACTTTATCCACTCTTCGAACAATTGTTGGATAGGAGTTTAGCTTAAACGATGGATAAGTTAAAATGGAAAACAATGGAAGTACAATTAAACGCATAAGATGCAAGTTCAGCAATACACAAGATCAATTAGAGTATTTTTAAATTTTGGCTCATCCACCGTTTAAACAAAAATGTGGACAAGGTAAAAATGAAAATAACAATCAAGTAGACCAGGTATTAGCAAAAATCACTTACATCTTTTTCACTCCAACTTTGAGCGCGATACCTTGTCTGCTTTCAAATTTAACTCTTTCGAATCTATAAAACATTTTCATTTCCTCGTATAGTTAAAGTTTCTGCAGCGTCGATATTCAAGTCTTTACCATCGTCACTAGTGATCTATAAAAAAAATAGACATAGTTGTGTTCACTCACTATATGTATATAGTTATTTAAACAACCAAACTAAAAATATCAACTAATATTGCATACATGGGTTAAGTTTGGTACCCACATCCATCAAGCATTGTCTTATTGTTCAAATTGGCCCAATTGGTAAAGAATAGTATTTTTTTTATTACCCTGTGTGAACAACGTTAGTTGTATCCAAATTGACAGCTTTAGCAGGTACATCCCAGACAACTTTTCGTTCAGCTATATGAAGTATCGTCTTGTTAATCTCAGAGGAGACAATTCGTACACCATTCTTCGCTTTGAGTAAAGTTCCATTAGTTCCAATGTAAGCTTCAAAATTATAAAATATTAATATATAAAATTGAAGGATATATGACAAACACGCGACAAGACAACTGGCCTCAGACAGAGAGCTATACATGATTGTGTGTGTAGCTATTTTATCGGATAAAACAGACATATGAATTAGGGCGCTTTCTGATATGAATTGTTAAAGTTTATTGAAAGAAATACGTTGCCGACAAGCTCGAATGCCAGAAGAGTAGAACTGAAGTGAAAAAGAAACTGAACTAACAAATCTTTACTGCCTGAGAAATGTGAAAGCGTTTTCGAACTGTTCTTAGAGTGGTTTGTTGTGAATTCAGTAGCGTCTGTTATTCGTTTACGTATATATATACTTCGGCAAAGACCATTTTTACAGACTGTAAACTCGACTAGAGATATACCATCAATGGTTGTGTATTTAGCGTTGTGTATATATATATGTAGACATGTAGACATGTAGTGTCGGTGGGTGGATCTATGTAGACATGTAGTGTCGGTGGGTGGATCAGAAGACATACATTGGTATGTCTGTGAAAGAAATAACGATAATTGTTAAAAAACTCGAATCCAAACGTTGGTCTGTTATAAAATTTTTGGAGGGATTAGAAATTGGACAAAGAGGACATATATAGAGAAGAAATGTATGTATATAAGACAATACTTGCAAAGATCAAGTTTATGATGAAAATGACTTTACAGTCCTGAGAAAACGTTTTTTATATCATACAATATTTGACAACATTGACAATCTGACAACACAGCAATTCATAAAAGGTTACTGCAGTGCCTAGATGTAAATTATCAACAAATAAAGGATAGAAGAATTACGGCATGGCTAGAAATTTTATGAAACTTACCAGAGCTTCCTTTTGTTCCAGGAATATTATTAACAAATTTCACCTGGAAGTAATTTACATAAAGATAATATATAGATGTATCTTAACTTTATACCTATGCACATGATCCATTCACATTAATTTGTGTCGTACATCGGTAGTGGTCAATAAAAAATATGACTTACCCCAGCATTATTGCCTCTGATATTTAGATTTTTGTCTTTAAAAGCTCCAATTTCACCTGTTTTCAACACAACTTGCTGCAAGTCCCCTCCATACATCCAGCGAACTAAGCCAGATTTGAATAGAGATAAACTCTCCATTCCAGATTTATCAATACGCAAAACACTCAGCATAATGCACAACATCTGTCAGAAAACAAACATGAAATTCCTTTATACAATCATGATATTACTCAGTTTGGACTTTGTACAAACATTTTATCTCTGTGAATGTGGTGTTTAAACAGGTAACAATAATATACTTCAAATTATATGTAGCAGGTTTTCTGTAGATCCTGAAACACTCTATTAAAACACCAGTAATCTGTGTGTGCTGTGATACAATAGGACTGGTCTGGCCATTTTTTCTGCATAAGGAAAGTGCCTCATATTTACTTTCAAAAATACAACTTATATCTGTTATGTTCTCTATCTGAAATTCTATTTTGTAAAAACATTCCAGTTTAAATTTTAGGTATGTATTGAAATGATAAAGAAGGTAATGATCAACACTTGTTCTATTTTATTAACCTTCTCAGGTATTTAGTGTTAGATAATATACTAGCCTTACTTCAGCTAATATTTTTTCAAACTTGAAAATAAAATGAGGCTTATAAGCCAATAATGGCATCCTAGAAACATATCATTCAATATAGTTCATTATGATTTTTTTGCTATTTTTTGTGTTGGCTATGTAGCACATGGTATGGTGGTATACAATTTTTTATAGTAACTGTGTGGATGTGAAGAGCAGCTCAGTGTTGCTTGTGAAGTAAAGAACTTACCACAAGATTAATAAAACAAAGTATACCCAATAGATATAAAAATGCATAATAAAGATATCTTTTTCTTCCCCGAATACCAGTTCTATGTAAATGTCTTTCATGTATTGGTATTCTCCCAGCTTTAAAATTACTTTCATGTTCTCTTTCAACAGCCTTTTTTTCTTTTAGTTTTTGCCACATTCCTTTACGTTTTCGGCTTGAATTATCACTCGACTAAAAAAACAATGAAACATAAATGAGGGGCAAGTGCCCGAACAGTGCTGCTGTTATATATAGACATGACAATTCAGTTTGATAACCTATAGCCAGATATTTTCTTTCTTCAATGAGATCACAAAATTCTTGTTGAACAACTAAGCTTGCAAAACATTATAAAATTGTCTAGGGTGTACGAGTTTAGAAAAACAGGCACTAAGTAATGATATGGAAATTATTTATGAAAATCCATTAATGTTTTCTGTGATCACATATTTATTGTAATTAGTAGGATCAATATAATAGAAAAACAACATTTTAATCTTTTCTTAAAATAGGAAGCGCAATATTTTAACTGAGTATCTACAATACTGCAAATGAAAAGAATATGGTCACTATTAATCAGGACAAACGGAAATGTACAACATAATAGCAAAATTTGACACATTTACGTTTTAATTGCAACAACTTGAAAATGGAATAGTAGCGATAACTAGCTACAGTGGATACTAGTTACATTGTGGAAACATAAATTACTACAATCAACAACAGAATAAAATGTAGAAAAAATGCAGTAGATAAACAGTAAACCAGTGAAGCACATTAATGACGTTCACGAAACATTTCAGACATTTGGGCAATGGAAATAACTGTTTTCATAGTTGTTCTGTTTATATCATTCTACTCTATATGTTATTAGGTTACGGACTCTTACAAGAATATCGAACGTGACTGTTATATCAATACTGTGAATTAGTCAGGACAAGGTCTGTATGATAAATTCCCTGGCATTAAACGATACCAGTATGAAATCATAGGGACGATCAATTCGATCAATCAGGCATGCAATTTATTTCCTAGCATTCATTAAAACATTTTAAAAGCATCACATACCATCTTTACTCTGTTCTTTAAAACGAAAGTAGTTTAGGAAAAAATGACCATATACGTTCACTCACTCCTCAAGATCAAAACAACATGTATGCTTTACTTGATGGTGATATTTTCTTTAAATATGTGGCCGCCCAGATATCATAAACAATACACTGAAACAATATCATAATACATCCTGACAGCCTGCATTTACCCAGTTTAAACCAAATACCTTAAAATCAGGTTTGTTTTGATGACGTGCATGCTGGGATACCTGGGAACGGGTAACGAGCAGTAACGAGGGAAACGTTGACATGGCGCAGGTTTCCTGCATCGAAGACGATAAATTCTTGTCATTTTTCAATGTTTTTCAATTATTTTGACAAGGATTTAGATTGGATATTAAAGTCTTATTCATGATATGCTTCATTCTTGCAAGGAAAACATTCAGCATGATGTCACGGTGCCACCTTTGCGCACATCCAGATACAGTTGATGTAACCTGAATAAATGATTCGTTGTAGGAAAACTACGTTCATTGTAGATTACATATTTTAACTACAAGAGCAAAATGTTGAATTGTATCAATATGATATTACAAAAGAATTTATTGCTATGAATAAATACGACGTTCTTGGCATCGTTGGAGAAGGTATTAAAGAAGTTGTCAAATTGTAATTGTATTAACTATTAAAGTCTCAAATCTGTTATAATTAGCTGATGAATTTATTAATCGTGTATGTTCTGAGACTACGTTGATTTTTTTTATAAAGGTGCATATGGTGTCGTAATGAAATGTAGAAATAAGGTATGACCATTAGTATGAGAAGAATTTTTAATAGCGTTGTATTGTAGTTTAGTACCTATATATATAATTTTGGATTGTTAGAGTAATGAGTAATTGGAGTGTTAGATTTGTTGAATTAATTGGATATACATGTATAAATTAAGTGTTATAATAGGTATAATCCTGACTTGACTTGAAGTTGAGTTTACGGCTGCACATTTGTATATTGAGTGTTTTTATAATGAAATATACACTATTTGTAATATAGGAAACAAATGAAGTTGTTGCTATTAAGAAATTCAAAGACAGTGAAGGTAAACTAAGCATTAATTGAGCTTGCTTTTGTAAGTGCATACCATATATATCTCTGACTTTTGCTAAGCTCCTTTTAATGCCACACCTAAAAATTTCTAATATAGACAATGCAGATGTAAAGAGAACTACAATGAGAGAACTAAGGGTTTTAAAAATGTTGAAACAAGAAAATATTGTGCAACTTAGGTAAGTTAATTAATGGTTGCATTTACAGAACTCCAAACAACAAAAAGGTATAAAATTTACATGTAAACTCTTTGTGAATTAATGATACATATAATGAAAAGTGTATTTGGAATTGTAATTTTGAAAGTCAACTATAAAAAGTGGCAAATATTTCAATAGTTTTCACTTATAAAGTGTGAATTGATCCTAGGACTTTAACTAGCATGTTAGTTGCAGTAGAGATGCAAATTCATATGTTCATGCAATATTGCCTATTGAATTTCTTCTATTGAAAGTATGAAAGAAAATGCAAAAGAAATATAACTGTTAGGAGAACAAACATATATGAAGTGGATCCAAGGGTGTGCAGAGTAAATTAATTTTTTGAGCTTAAAATTGAAATCGCATTGGCAGAATTTAATGTAAAAATATTCTTTTCAAATCTATAACCAATAGTGTTGCAATGTAGTTTGCGTTGTAATTTGAATTTAGAATTAAGCTGTGTAATTTATTCTGCACACCCATAGATCCTCCACTATATCATTGCATCTATGTAGTTACTGCATGCATAGTACACACCATATGAAAACTGCATAGATAATTTGTTTTTGGTTTAATAGAGAAGCGTTCCGAAGAAGAGGAAAATTGTACCTGGTTTTTGAATATGTTGAGAAGGTAAAATTCACCAATTAATTACCCATGCAATTATTGATTTTTTTCAAAAATTTTCCATATTTGTTGATTACCAAAAAGATTACTTAGATGTAATCAAAAGATTATACTTGTAAATCAATATTGATCAAAATCAAATAGTATTACTAGTCATATATATATATATATATATATATATAATTATATATATAATGTAAGCAGCATTACAGCTGGTATGTGTGAATAAATCTTTTTATAGTACACTTCAGCCAGGTTTATTTCGGTTTATAATCTTACTTTACCTGACAGAACATGCTGGAATTACTTGATGAGATGCCAAATGGTGTCCCAGTGACTAGGTTAAGGTAATGGTATTTATTTATTTCTGATTAATTGTACTATAGTGGCATGTCCCACCATCACAGACGTACACCTGAAATCTTGATTTAATTCAGAATAAATATATGTATGATTACCTCAGCAAAAAAATCCCGAGAAATTTCACCACTGACCCAAGTATGATATATGTGGACTGTGTATTATATATTTCTAGAGGACATATATTTCAACTCATTAAAGCTATACATTGGTGTCATCAAAATAATGTTATACATAGAGGTAAGTAAGACAGGTATATATACATGCATAACAACAGCTGAGCATGTAGAGCTATTAATTTGTATTACTCTTAATTTAGATATAAAACCTGAGAATTTGTTAATCAGCAAAGATGACTCACTAAAATTATGTGATTTTGGTTAGTAGAATAAAAACTATGAAAATATCTCTAGATTTTAGATCTAGATTTTTTTTGTCCATTTTTCACAACATAATATTTGTGATTTAGGCTTTGCTCGTGCAATGTCATCCAATTCATCAGCTCCATTCACAGATTATGTTGCAACTCGCTGGTATAGGTCTCCAGAGTTATTGCTTGGGTAAATCTTCTAGATCAATATCTGTATTGGCCCAACGTTCGTTAGCTCAAATTAAACTAGTGGAAATTTTGCTATGATATCACCATGCATGCAAACTGTTTGATTTGATTGTTTACAACAAACACCTTAGGCCTGTTTCAGACATCGAAGTTTTCATCTAATGTTAAGGAGTCTTTGTGTTCTTTGCATTTGATTCCGCACATGAAAAGTTCGACGTCTGAAACGGGCCTTATTTTAATTATTACGTTTGTCCTTTTTAGGGGTTCTTATGGTAAGCCAGTGGACATCTGGGCAATAGGTTGCATTCTGGGTGAATTGGCCGATGGTCAGGTATAATTGTGAACTTACATATCCTAAAAATATGATTTACTATAGTTTCTATAACGCATTCTCTTCATTCTTTTCACGCGTTCTACTTCGTTTTTATCTTAGCCTGTATTTCCTGGTGAAAGTGAAATTGACCAGCTTTACACGATACAAAAGGTGAGAACGATTCACGTGAACTGCTCTATGTATTTTAGAAACGTCTATTATATATTATATGTAGAGCTCTAGTTTTCCGCCGAAAATGCTTCTTGACCGGTTAACTTTTTCCCTTTCTGGTCATTTTGACCGTTCAAATTTCATTTGCATTTGATTTCATTAACTGATTACCTTGAAATAAATCTCTTGCAGAACACTAGACACTAACATACACAAAGTCAAAAAAGCTAGAATCCGGGTGTATTGGTTCTTGATTTTGTCATGTTGTCTTGTTGATTTTTGAAAATTGTGTGAATTAGTGACTGGACAAATACCGATTTTGACCGAGCTAAAATGAGCGGTCTCTTTGATCGGAGATATCTCGGCCGTCTGTGCATATTTACAGAATTAGCTCAAGCTGAATTTGAGCATCAACCAACAATGCCCAATGATGTTTCTGTCCACAAAACAGTCTGCAGCAATGTTTCCTGGTTTCGATGTTCTGAAGAAGATGCATTCTTATATATATACATGCAGCTTATATATTTTTTGACATTTCTAAGGTTCTGGGACCTCTTCCTCCAGATCAAATGGAAATGTTTCGTAATAACCCTCGCTTTAAGGGACTAAAGGTTTGTATCATTATTACTTAGTTAATTACTATTGTTAATGGCCATTCATAATCGACACATTGTCATATCGAATTCCAATTTTCTAATTTGTAACAGTTTCCTGATGTGTCGAGACCTCAGACTCTGTTTAAGAGATACAATGGCATCCTAAATTCGAATCTTCTTCAATTTTTGACGGTAAATTTCTATATAATACGTCATTAACAATATCATACAGTATGTAGCTGTACCAGCCTGACTTTCAACATCCATGCGTTTTTGGTGTTCATTAGTTTCGTTTGTATCCGCAAATATTCTGTCGCGGATTCATAGAAGTTTACACGTCCACATAGTCCGCCCGTTTCCGTCCGGATTCGTTTTTGGCGTTCACACGGTACAGTACACCTGCACCCATACGAATAGCCAAGGATCATTGATACAGAGGACCCGCGATGAAGTTGCTTGTAAATGTCTAGAGCCCTTTTTATGGACATAGATGATCATTGTGTTAAGTGCCATGCAGTGGGAAAATTGCATGCATGCATATAGCAATTATAGGTTTAATGATATAGTTCCAGTAATCAACCCTGTTTGGAAAGATTCAAAATAAAAATATTTTCTATTCCTTTTATGATCGTTTTAGCAAGCCTTACAATTAACTCCTCAGCAAAGACCAAATATTGCTGAATGTATGCAGCACAAAGCATTTACAAATGAAACAAACTGTGACGAGGACTTGACGCAACAATCCAATGGAAAATGTGGAATATCAACTGATCTTGCTTCGGACACTTCTGAACGCCAGGAACAAGGGACTATAAACGAGAATCTTGAGATTTCAGACGTAGCAGATGACACAAAACCTATCAAAGAAAGTTTTCATAGTACTACAGAACCTCAGGAATTGTTGTTAAAAAGCACGATATCTGAGCCGCAACTGAAATTAGATTTCTCATTGTTGAATAAGAATGAACTAAAAATGAAACCACCTGAACCAAGAGAACTATCAAAATATCATGTTTCTAGTTCATTGGGAAATGAATGGAATTTTTCAGATGGAAAACCATTCATAGTAAGCTATATTGACGTGTCTTTAATATACATATATTGTAGCTAACTATATATACTCTGACAGTTCGTATTGGTCCACCAGAAGATGGAGTGCCTATATATCATATCTCAATTTTTGTCGTCGAAGATACAATGATGTTTATTTGGTGTGCGCTGGTCTGCCGTTTTCATACAACGCACTGGCCTTCCATATATGTAACACATGTTTTCTAGAAAGCAACTTCTTATGTTTTTTGCCCATATTAGCCGACTGGCAGCGACGAGTTAAAGAAATGCAAGTCAAAAATACGTGAAAAGACAAAGAGCAGTAAAAAGTTGAATCTAGATGCTCCCAAAGTAGAGGTAAATATTCTTAAACTGTAGCTACACACTGTACTTTGTGTAGTGCATAATATGTGCCAAAACAAAATATTTCGAATGTTTCGTTTTGGTTCAGTGTGTTCGTTGATGATCTATATTCAACATCTGTTATCATCCATCTAGTCCATTATTCCAGATGAAAGCAGTAATACTTTGGAACGTGGAATCAGACAGGGAGAGGTCGCTGAGAATTGTAAGTTGTTTTTTTGTGGACGCCAATTCTGAAATTATTATATTTGTAAGATTTTGAAAAAGGGAAAATTAAGAAGAGGTGACAACAAGTATGTTTGCCAAAGGCTGTCGTAATTTTGTTCCTAACAAAATGGCCCAACCGGCTCATCGCTGGCCACAAGAACTGTGAAACGCGACCAAACAACCATTATATAGAGCTTTGCCCTAACTGCAGAAGTTTATATAATCATAAATTATATGTTGTCATGCCTGCATGTGCTTTGTTGTTGCCTTGCCTGTGTTCATAGTTGAATGTTATAGAAACGCTTATAAGAATTAGCATCACTGGTTGTATTGTATAATATAACGATATAGGATAGAAATACAACCACGCAAACGTCATTGATAAAAGAATCTGTTTTATAGCATGTTGCGACCAAACAATGAAGCCTCCTATCTTCACAGATGGATTGCTTCCAAGCAAGGAATATGGCTTGAAAGAAGGTACCACCATTCATGAACATTTAATATCTCCAAGAGATATGCCAACATCGCCCACTGTTGTACAAGAGAGAAAATCTGATCTTGGCTTGCCAACTTGCCATCCAAGGTTAGTGCTCCTGTTTCGTATCTTCATGTTCGAATAAAATTCCAGGCCTGCCAGCAGGCTGCTATAATTGCAAGATTGCTTTATTCCAAGTACGATTTTCAAAATGGGGCCCGGATATAGCTGATGTTCTTAGCAATGAGCATTTATTGGGTTCATGTTTCCAGGTATAGTTATTATACCAAAGTTTATTATGCTGTTTTTTTTCCTCTTAAGAGAAAAAAAAGAACGAAGAAAAAAGAAGAAAAGATCAAACCAGGTTCTTTTTAATATGACGTAAATGTTTGTGACGAAATTTTTCGGGCGCGCTAATGATCGCAAGTTATATATAGCGTCCAGCCTGCACCAGTGCATCATTTTCGTAGATGCCGGAAACAACCATTGGTATTACATTTCAATTAAGATTACAGTAATCCCATCTGTTTTTTTGTATATCGTGTTTTAGACAGATATTATAGTGGACTCCTAGATCTTCAAGGTTGTAAGATAGGATGTACGGTTGATACGCCATAACTATACGTTTTTTAGTTTCATTTTATATGTTCATATTTAAACTGTTTTTAGGTGTCAGTAAAGGAACAAAACATATATGACTTTCCTACACCAGATATGGCTAGGTATGCTCCTCAATTACTGGAATTTCTACCAAATATCTCGCAATCAGAAATGGAATCCCCACCTGATTTCGCCCAATACTTTACTAATGACGCAGTTTGTAACCTTATCAATTGTGATCGAGACTATATCGATAAAAGCAGCGAATACTAGCCTTTATGTTGATTGAATAGAATTGTAATAGAATGTAGATAACCTGAACTATTTATTTAGAGAGGGCGTCGGAGCTAACATACCGTCCCTTATCACGGAGTTAAGTCTTGTCTGTTCAATTGTTTATAGTGATGAAATAAGGCATGAAGTCGGTAGTAAGGAGGATGATTTACCGGTAGGTTCATTTATGGTAGAATTTTAAAACTGGTTTGCAAATAATGTTAAAAGAAAACCAGCATGCATGCATATAATCTCAAATTATATTTCTTTATTTGAAGGCTACTTTTTCTAATTTCTATTCACCTGGATCTCTACACAAGACTCAGCTGAAACCTCTCAATTACACGATAAACAGCATATCACTTCGTGAAACAAGACATCCTAAAGTTCAAAGATCTTTTCAAAAACCATATTTACCACCACCACCTAGTATACCGCGACATTTACTGCGGGCAGACACGCGATACATGATGACTCACACTGATCACGCTGAATTGGTTGAACCTGAACTACAAGGATTAAAACTAAACAATAAACAATCTGCTTTTTTAAAAGAAGGATTACCACAAAGCCCGGGACTGAAACCTCTACAAACACATAAGGACTGGCGGAATCGTCCTGATAGAAGTGGAAATACTGATCTAAGTTCTTTAAAGGAGACACTTCTCTGACAACTCGGATTCTCCTCCCCCTACCCAAAAATGTTATAATTTTTATATAAGTAAGTCCAAACTGAATTTAAATAGTTTTATTAATATATTCTTTTTAATGAATATATATTTATAACAATTTCTAATGATTGTGTTTTTTCAAAAACAAAAATCATTTTTAAAACTTTAGCATGCATATTTCATCGCTATTATCGCTTCTCTGGTTTAAAATAATGAAAGTAACCACACACAAAGATTAAATTCGCAACCCAACGTTTCGATACGACACTCCAGACTTGTCTTCATCAGGAGTGATTTGATGTTGGATCCTTTTATAATTGCGAATTTAATTTGGCAAATAGCTTCCGCCATCGCTATTTAGAGCACAAGAACTCGCATTGATACAAGAATACCACTAGTACGGCAAAGTCCGCAATTCTCCTACAGCGGGGAATTGATTATTGCTTCTTGTATAGTAGGTAGGGGATACCTACGGAAAAACAGGTGTTTGCGACAACCTTATTTCCTTTTCTCAATGCGGAAAAGCACCGGCCTATTCTACGAGCTAACTTCCTCCTTCATTCATTCATACTACATATTCCCGTAAAATAGTTCACGAAGGTCCTGTTCTATCACTGATGTTTTGAAATAAATGGGTTGAAATTTGCAAGAGTTGTGAGCTTGAGTTTTGCTTACGTACTTTTGGGGCAACAAGATCCAGTCATGTAAACAACCTTCACGGTACTTTCCAAAGCTTGTCACATGCATGTCCTTACTATAAAGACGTAGGGAAGCGTTCAAACTTTCCATCAGAGAAAGATATATAATTAATCAAATATTTGTTTACAGCAACGGAGTCCTTGTTGTTTTGGGGGCAAGTATAAAGCCGTATAATGCAATAATGTGCACGATGATTGAATGTTTTTTGTTAAAATCAATGATCGATAAAAACCGAAAGCAAATGTGAATATGTTTATGGAAAAAATGATCGTTTTCTAGCGGCAAATGCTGTAGATAGCCTGTTAACTGGAAGTAAATATGCAGGGTAATTAAAAAACCTAGTTGGGAAAGTCCCCATCTCCCCAGGATTGACGATCCCCCAGATTGCACTCTATGATCCTAGGTGACATTGAACTATGACCTCCATAAGATGAAGTACTGCTTGGAAAATGCAGGTACTCACGTGTAAAAGAAAATTGAAAATCAAAATGTCTTCTCAAATATTCTCTCGTATTTTTCGACCTCTTTCAAGAACTATTTGCTATGGAGTACGTGGAAAGAATATTTATATATTGTCTGGAAAAAGAAATGTTTTACCAAACCAGGCAAACCTTGTGCAAAATGTGAGATCTAAGAGTAGTACTGGAGTATTTGCATCTGACAATGCCCTCATGGTCACAGGATTAAGTTTATTTGGTGGAGTTCTTTTTTACGTATGTTTATATATTATTTGAGTTCATTGGCGTGCTGCAGGAATATGAAAGTTTTTACAGGCAGTAATTAATACGAACTTAAACTTGTATTTTGTTGCTTTACAGGCATTCTATTTTGAAAGATTGGGAAAGATTCCAAAATTAAAAAAACAAAGTTTAGCCAACAAGGTGAGAATTCACAACATTGAACATGAATCATCCAGCTTACATTTTATTATTCGATCAGTGTTGATTACATATGCTTTATTTCTTACCATCTTTGTTGAATAAAACAAATTGACTTTCAATTGATTTTCAAATCAATATCACTGAGTGATCTATATATGTATTTCTCAGTCTACAATGTGGTATATATTGGGTAATCTCAACTTATAATCAAATGCTAATGGCATCACTTTTAATGAAATGAAAAAAAATCTTGTCTCACTAATCACCAAGTGAACCGAAGGGTGATATCCTTTGTTTATGAATGGTACATGTAGGGGATTGAATGGAATCATGCCTAGAATTTTTTTGTTTTAAAAGCTATTGCAAACCTGCGAAATTTGCAAAAAACAAATGTTTTTTGTTCATTTTGTGAAAAGGTGTGGGATCCCATCATCCTGACATATGTCATAGCAAATAGCTAGGCCAGGCAATCTAATTGGCTGGTTAAAGTGAACAAAATTCAAAGTCAAAGATGAGCCAATCGGATCACCTATTTTACTGTGACATAGGGCAGGGTGATGGGATCCTGACTGCTTTCAATGAAAAATGGTATTTTTGCAAATTTGTCATTTTTTCAATGGCTACATTGCCAAATTTTTCAGTTTTCACTTCATTTTTTGTTTGATATAGCAAGAGACTGTCCTAGCCGATATTGAAGATGAAGAACAGATAGAGGAAGGTAAACTAAGATGTTTGCTGTTTCACAATACTCAGTATTCATCATTAACACAATCTGCTTGTAAGATATCCTAGTTGGCACTCATCCTGCAGATGAAGAAATTCCTGAACATGTCCCGTTTGTATTAATTGGAGCTGGTACTGCATCATTTGCAGCTTATAGGGCTATTAAGAATGAGAAATCTGATGCCAAGGTAAAACAAAATCTTTTTAGGACTGGAGTCATAATGAACTTAATATGAAGTGCTACCAGAAAAAGCATGCAAGAGATTAGAATATGAGTTTAAAGCAAATGTAGACGTTTCATATTGTTAGTAATTATATAGCTCTTTGTTGGTGAAGGTTTGTCAAATGCAAGGTCATGCATTTACCTTGTCACAGAGATTGCACAAATCAAATATGTGTTTAACATGTGTGAGATTTTCTTTGGTGGCATAATGTCTATATATATTCATAACAGGTTCTTATCATCGGTGAAGAGAAATACACACCCTATATGAGACCCCCATTATCTAAAGAATTATGGTATAGTGAAGATCCTCAGGCTATTAAAACATTGAGATATAAAAATTGGAGTGGGAAGGAAAGAAGGTTAAATTATTTTGTTTAATCAGACCTGCTCAAAGGAAAATTTTGTTTTATATTTGCTGGAAATGTTTTTTTGGTTCTGTAAAATGTATGGCATGTGTATTTGATTGTGTATTTGTTCCATGTTTTTGTAGAAATATTTAGAACCAGAAGAAAGAGATATAGAGATTAAAGTAGTGCGCAATGTTTATTGCAGATTATTGAATATTATTTCTCAATTTTTTTCAGTCTGTTTTACGAAAATGATGAGTATTATTGTCAACCAAGTGAACTAATGAAAAAAGAAGGTGGAGCTGTGGCTTTATTAAGAAGAACTAAGGTTTGAATTATTTTAACCTAGTTGAAAGAATACTGGTACATAATTTATCAAAGCATTATCATGTTTACAGTGTCTTTTTTCTTTATGCATAAAAAAGAATAAATATTTAATCACAGAATTTATTTACAAATTTCCTTTATTCCTATATAAATGGCTGTTTCTTTACTGTCAAATGAATTTAGATCCACCATGAATATATGATATATCATGACGATTTGACTGCGTCATGAGAATAAAGTTCATTTTCAAGACATTAATTAAAATAAACTGATAATTAACTGAAATAATTTTATGATGCAGGTTATTGAGATTAACCCCAGGAATCACAAAATCAAGATACAAAATGGAAAAGAAATAGGATATGACAAACTTCTTTTAGCAACAGGTTTTGACAATAGCTGTGATATTATTGTGTGAGGAAAGATATTTTAAAGCATATGTTTTGTTTTGGTACAATAAATAGTTGTTAGATTCAGATGTACATACACTCAGGAAAAAATAATGAAAGCTTCCTACACATACTGCTTGGCGAAAATAGTGGATAGTTTAGAGCTTCCTAAATTGATATATATCGTGAACTGCTATAGCATCTTTTCATTGCATATTTCATAAAAATTGCTGATAATAACATTTTGAAGGTGGGACAGCTAAGAATCTGAAGGTTTTTGAAGACGCTGACCCTAATGTGAAAAGACGAACTACGCTATATAGATCAGTAAGTATGATGCATGGAATTAAATATAATAGCTAAGAATATATATTTTTTGTACCGTATGAATAATTGCATACTCACAAAATGTTGATCGTTAGTGTAGTTGTGAGAAGCGTTGTCAGTGGTGTTGAATGACGTTATGAGATGACCGCCTTATATAGCAGTAGTCATCTTCAAAGTTGAGAGTCAAGCTTGAGATTTAGTAAAGTGCTTTTTGAAATTCGTAGTGGTTATACCACCACATCCACTGCACTGATAACATTGGCTTTTTAAAATGTATTTAATAGTGAGATAACAGTGTTGAAAAGACAAATTACTGATCATGCTGTGGTGAGCGCCACTTACTTGCACCACAAACACGAACAATACTTCTCAGGAATACGTTAACATATAACTGTACTCTGTTCAAACAACTCAGTTTATATAGTCACAAGAGTTCACAACAATGCCCTAGTACAGACGATGTTCAATCTAACTAATAGTTCCGTGAAAAGTGTTGGGTCTAAGAAGCCGGAGGGAACTGTTATTTTAAATAGCAAATTTTTGAGAAGAGCTGAACTTAAAGCAATATGTCGGCCAAAAACAACTTTAACAATAAGCAAGTACCCTTTAGATTGCGAATCTTCAAGCACTGGATAAAGTGACAAATAAAGCGAAATCAATCGCTGTGATTGGTGGAGGATTTCTTGGGAGTGAACTGGCATGTGCTCTAGGACACAGAGGTACTGGCCTTGCCTAAAAATCAACAGTTAGCAATAGAAATTACATTGTAATTACAAATGAGAACTGCTTCTGAAATAGTAGCACGAATCAACATAGTTGTAAACTGGGTTTTAGGCTCCTGAGACTAATTAGGAATCAAGAATTTGGTCACTGTAGCTCAGGATTTGATCCAATTTAGACCTCGATTTACAATCATTATTAATCACAGTGCGAAGTAAATGGATTTCCAAATTTTGAATTTATCTCAATAAGATTTTACAAATTATATACAAATTTATTTTAAAATGAAATTCTATGGAACTAGGCATAATAAGTATGTAGGCGACTATATAGCTTATAACGTAACCGAGGTTTGATTGATTGAATTATGATGTTATGGGGGTTTTTATCTTTCATGTATACAGCAAATTCAGAACTCTTATCTATTGTATTTCAGGTCGCAAGTCAGGTATTGAAATCATACAAATATTTCCTGAAGAAGGTGTGTTGGTTTCATCGTTTCCTCAACATGATAATGACAATACATGAACCAATCTTTTACCACTCAGTTTGTGAATGTGTAAAACAAAGTTGTGTATGAATACGTATTTTTCGGGGTGTCAGCGTGTGCGTTTCATTTAACTTTCTGCATGAACTATATTCTGGATTTAAATTATAAATTAATGTAAACTTGGGCAATTTAGGTAACATGGCGCGAGTTTTACCTGGGTATTTGAGCAAGTGGACAACAGAAAATGTTGTGAAAGGTAAATACAAAGGTTTACAATTCCTTACAATAACTTAGAAATGTTTTCCTTTTTGCGTAAAATCCATTCAGATCCATTATTTACCGTATTTTGAATATTTGGTTTCTTGTATTCAGTGTAACAGCCGAATGTACTCTAGGTGCCAAAAGCACTGTAGGCTGAATAGAATTATTTTTTCCGTTATGCAAGTAAACTAATAATTGTATCTCCCCTTGTATTTATTCAACAGCTAGTGCAGAATTCCTTATACCATAAATTATACAGTGGTGAACTAGACGTACACCTTTATTATCGCTTACTGATGCGGCATAGTTTCTCAGTTACACAGTAACTACTTTTTCATTTTATGACGACAAATATATAATTCTTTCATTCGGGCAAAATTTGCGAAAAAGGTATTTTAAATACGGCTGGCCTAATACTTTTAGCACTTGTGCAATTTTAAAACTGTGATTCAATTTCATCAGTCATCAATGTCTCTCTTTATTGCCATTATTCGTAGAGGGCGTGAATGTCATGACTGGTTGTCATGTTGAAAATGTGAAATATGAAAATAAGAAAGTTGCTCTCTTCCTGAATTCCGGGGAAAAGGTAGGAAAAGTTGCATGAGAATTGTATTTACGTATATTTGTCCATACACAATGCAAGTCTATATGCAATGCTATAGTCTATACGCAATCCTTGTCTATATATGCAATGCTTGTCTATATCCAATGCTTGTCTATATATGCAATGCTATAGTCTATACGCAATCCTTGTCTATATATGCAATGCTTGTCTATATCCAATGCTTGTGTATATATCCAATGCTTGTCTATATATGCAATGCTTGTCTATATCCAATGCTTGTGTATATATGCAATGCTTGTCTATATATGCAATGCTAGTCTATATGTAATGCTTGTGTATATATGCAATGCTTGTCTATATATGCAATGCTAGTCTATATGCAATGCTTGTCTATATGCAATGCTTGTGTATATATGCAATGCTATAGTCTTTATATGCAATGCTTGTCTATATGCTATGCTTGTCTATACATGCAATGCTTGTCTATATATGCAATGCTTGTGTATATATGCAATGCTTGTCTATATATGCTATATTTTAATGTATAGTTGGAAGTGGATCATGTTGTTGTCGCCGTCGGACTGGAAGCGAATGTTGATCTATCAAAATCTGCAAGACTTGAAGTTGACCCTGAGTTGGGAGGTTTCAGAGTTAATTCCGAGCTCGAGGCTCGATCTGATATATGGGTGGTAAGTCATAATGTAAAGTTTAACAATCTACGGAACAGTAAGTCATATATACTTAAATATAATAAATCATGTCTTACTGTTTGAATCTTCCTAGGTCAGATAAGTGTTTCGGCTAACGACCTATTATAATATTACCAATAACAAATTGCATTGGACCATTATTTCGAAATTTTTTAGAATAGGTTAGTTGTAATTTTATTCTTACAACTTCCATTTTAAATCAGAGTGAATGAAAATTCATAAATGTCAAAAACGCAATAATTACAACCTCCGTATGTTATTTAAAATTTTAGTGAGTTTAAGATTCACCAAATCTACAACGCGGACCTGAAGTAATACTGCTCTAATTTTCACAGTTTCCTAACAGGCAACAGGGATGGAAATTATAGACTCCTTTTGTTAAACAAAGTCAGATCGTATGTGAAACAAATTAATACTGGTTTTCTAACACTAGCAGCTGTTTTCATGTCACGTCCGCGTCGTATGTTGGTGCATCTTAAACTCGCTAATAGTACATCAGCAGGCAACTGCCTGAAACAGAAAAGAAATTTACTATTCAACGTGTCAGCTTGAGGATTTTCCTCGTACACTAATCTTGCCGAGAAGGGCTCTTATTCTTAGGGCATTAAAAGGTGTAAACGTCGAGACTTGTTTTTCCAGTACAGAAATAGTTTTATTTCACATTCACTGCATTTGTATATTGAAGAATTCTTCGTACCTGTTTTACTCTTTTTTTTGTATTTATAATTTATTACCCTGTGTAATGTTGATTAGTTACCATTAAGGATGGTAAGAATATAAAATAATTTAGGCTGGAGATTCTGCTTGTTTTTATGATGTCAATCTTGGTCGTCGTCGTGTGGAGCATCATGATCATGCTGTGGTCAGCGGTAAACTTGCCGGGAAAAATATGACTGGAGCAAAACAGTCGTATTGGCATCAATCTATGTTTTGGTAAGAAATGTGTTGTTAGTAATAGGACTATAGATCTGTAATAGGACTATATTCTGCGCTCTTTTGGCCGGCCTTCTGAGGCGTAAAGTTTAATTAATATCGATCTGATGTTACCAAGAATATGCTAAAAAGAATGTTGAATTATTTTCGGCGAAAACAATTATTAGACTATATATTGAAGTTATATGGAACTTGTAGGAGTGATCTTGGTCCAAGAATTGGTTATGAAGCAATCGGTTTAGTTGACTCAAGTTTACCCACGATCGGAGTTTTTGCTAAAGCTACATCACGTGACACACCAAAGGCCGCTGTGGAAGCTACTGGTGAAAATATTCGATCAAGCACACAAGAGCAGGTTATTTAGGTTAACTGCTTTATCTGGTCTGTTGAATATTATCAGAAGAACAATAATTTTGCAATATAATTTTGCAGGTGTTCGAATCAAAAGAGGAAATTGTTGAAATCGCGGAAGGTATTGAGTCTAATGAAATCAGTGATGTAGAAAATAATGAAGAATATGGCAAGGGAGTTGTGTTTTATATGCAAAAGAAAAGAGTCGTTGGTATTGTTCTTTGGAATATTTTCGAAAGAATGAACATTGCAAGAAAGGTAAGGTATCCATTTCAGTTCGTGGACATCTAACAAGATACACAATTTGTACGAGCTCGCTACATTCCCCTACTGATTTTGAAACAGCGAGGGCAGAGACATACGATATTTTTTAGGATTTTACAGGGAACGTTGCGAAAAATGAAACTTCCACCTTTACTGAAATACAAAAATACGGCTTCTCCCACGCGCAACTTTCTTCCGTAGCTTAGTTAGTAGTTAGAGCTTGATCTGCTCCGCGATCGCAAAAGGCGGCTAGGCTTAACCCGCAAACGGGCGTACTCTGGGAACGAGATTGACAACATTCCTACATGGTCAAATGTAAAAATGATGTGTTTTTTTTATTTTTCGACTTCGTTCTCCCAAAAAACCTTCCATAGCTAATCATGCGATGGCGAGCACAATTTGGGATTAATAGTAGGAGCGTTGTTTCAAAATTTTGCCAAAATTGTACGAGCCGCCAGGATATGACGAGTATTATTAATTGTACGAGCAACATCACACGATTATTTGTTGATGATAAAAAAAATCGGAGTTTTTTTAACAAATCAATTGCAGTACAAGTAATGAAACAACTTTACTAGACTAATTATTATCCAGTAATTCTACGATGCTAATACGTCTTCAAATAAAGCAAAGGAAGTGTAATATACCCAGCACGCCATAATAAGAGCTCCTTGTCGAGCTCAATCTGACTTTTCTGCTGTGGTTGCCCCTCAGACACCCATTCATTCATTCATTCTTTCATTCATTTATTTATTCAACGAACTTATATAATTATTATGTATGTATCCATTTTGAGACTCATATCTACTCGGTGCATCCAATTTGAAATCAACAAAAAAGCATTTTGATTGGATGAAAACACTTGCAACTAGCTTGCGAGTTGGTGGTTGTGATGAGTGAAGTACATAACGTATGTCGATATTAGAGATTTTGCCGTGTGGTTTTTTAACAATGCTCCTTGTCGAGAAATCTTGCAAACGAGGAAAGTCCTTATGACTGTCGTTATGATTAGACTTTTATTGTTTGTTTTCGTATAAATTTTTAGATCATCATGTCGGAAAAAGACCAAGACGATTTAAATGAACTAGCGAAACACTTTAATATTCACACGTGACATCTTGTTGATACGTCGTCACTTCATATGAGACGTCACTTGCAGAGAACATTAACTCAAGTCCACAGGTAAAACAGATAAGAAGGAAGAATAAATAGCCACTAAAATGAAAAGAAAACCGAAAACTAATTATTGAACCTGTCACGAACAATACATCGTGTTATCGTCCTAATTCGCCATGTTGTTTTAAAATATCGTAAGCGAAGTGGATTTTCTTGAAATGTAAGTCGTCACATATTATCGTTTTTGTATTTTTACTTTGAAATAGAAGTTATTTACTTTAGTTACTTTGCCTTTATGACAATACAACTTTGACATTAATAGATTTACACTTGTCAGCGAGACACCCCGGTAAACTGGATAAACATGTCCTGTGTTTATATGAGAGGATTTCTTTATTTAAACATTGGCTTTGCGTTGAAAGTTCATATCTGTTCCCATATATTGTTCGCTTTTAGCGTTTTAGCATTTGTATATTAAGAAGGTGCAGCTGTCACCAGGGGAGTAGGAACCGGGGGGGGGGCAAGGGGGCCAAGGCCCCCCCAACTTTAAAAATAACAGAAAAAGTGCCCTTTTGCTGAGGTAAAGTGCCCTTTTTCTTTGTGGAAACGTCTATGCCAACGCAACAATATAATAATATAATTGAACTTTTTTCAACAATAATACGTGCCAATGTTAAATGCTCTTTCATCAGGCAAGTGCTCTAGACGTTAATGCCCCCCCCCCAACTTAAATATGCTTCCTACGCCCCTGGCTGTCACAAGGGGCAGACTAGGCTGTTAGTGATTCTGGTGTTAACCGAGGCGTGGCCGTCTTCGGGGGCCCGAAATAAACAGCCTTGCACATCATGAATATATTAATACCTCTTATATGAGCCTCAGAGCCTGCTACGCGAGATCTCGCTTCGTTCAGGCGGGATCTCGCCAGAGCCGGGCTTGCCCAGTGTATTCCATATCAATGCAATTTTACAAATACAGTGAAATAATATGTGAAACGAAATCCCAGCACTGTCGAGCTAACCCGTCTGGCCCGTCTTATATGAACAGCCAACGACCACCTAGGGCTTAGACCGATGCATCTTTTTTTTGAGCCAGTAGATACATGGGTAAGATCCAAATTTAACCATTTAACCTTATAACAAGTTCATTTTCATCGTAAGAAGATTTCGGTATCATCCGCATACATGGCTGGGGTAGTTGATTTCGTGTAATTATAGAAAATTCCCATTGACATTTCATTGCTGTACTCCCTTATAACAAGTTCATTTTCATCGTAAGAAGATTTCGGTATCATCCGCATACATGGCTGGAGTAGTTGATTCCGTGTAATTATAGAAAATTCCCATTGACATTTCATTGCTGTACTCTGTTATTTAAATTCCAAATTGTTTATTCAATTTATTTAGCAAAATGTTTATAGATTGGATGGTTTATAGCTTGATCTCTAGAAACACGACACCGTAGGAAGTTGGGGACAACCACTGAGCTATACTAGATGGACTGAGCGCGCGGCCTATTTAATCAGGAGCATATTGGGTCCCCGTTGCTCACGTCATCACGTCATATAAATCGTTGCTCTCATGCGTAAACTTGCAGACCGAAAATAACTGGCTCGTAATTCGGATTTCGAAGTGAGTAAAATATATCTTTCTTTTGAATTCCAATCTCAAAAATTTGCACAAGATACTCACTAGCATTTGCCCAAGATACTCGGTGGATACTCGGCCTCGAGCGCTCAGTCAATATAATATAGGTCAGTGGGGACAACATGCCTAATCTGACATGCGCAAGGACATTTATTTGTAATATATATATATAAATATATATATATTTTTCCTGCGGTCCGAATTCATATTTTCCTGCAATCTGATTGGCTACGCGAGCGGTCCGTATTAGGCCGTACGGACCAGGCGAGATTTAAAAGCACAGAGCCAACGCTAAAACATGAATTCAGACCGCAAGAAAAAAAAAATATATTATTTACCAGTTAGTCGGTCTGTATAGGGAAATATTACCCTCGGTCTCAAAATCGTCCCTCGGGAAATATTTCCCTATACGGACCTCCAATCTGGTAAATAACATATTTTTATCCAACAGGAAACAAGGAATTTGAAAGTGGAAGTGCTGTTAAATTATTTTCATCGAAGATACATATGACATAGATAGTATTCGTTACCCGCATTATCCGGGCTGCTTCTAGTAGGTCGAGGTCAACGGTGTTACATTTTGGTGAGAAGTCTAAGAAAGGTAAGTACAACTTCTATTTAAAATTCGTAATGGTAGTTTGTGCTGTCTTTAAAGTGTGTCCAATCGAACATAATAAGTCCTGAAATATTATTATAGCCTAATCTGATAGCAATTGCATAATTTATCGATAGTTCAACATGCATTTGTTAACTTGCATTTGGTTGCTACACAACTAATACGTATTGCTAATCCGGCCAAACTAGTACAAAAGCACGTACCCTAACAGGTTTTATCTTGATTGAATCATTTGGGAATATTTCAACGTAAGTATTTCAATGAATATTTTGGATTTTGGGATTGTTTGGACATTTATTGTTTGTATCATTTGTGTAATTTGATACGCTTCTATAATTATATTGTTGCGTATGTTGTTATCATCTCATGCTTGAGCAGGTACTACACGATGCCGGAAGAATTTGAAAACGTTTATCCGTTAAAATATTTATCCGCGTCCACACGTAAACACAAAAACGATAAAGTTATTTGATCCTGCAATACACCATGCAATACACATGTTTTCCACCCGCGTGTCACAGGTTGGATGTCGAATTCAAAGAAAAAATCTACCAAATCCAAAGTAAAAAACAAGAATGAGGACTTTGTTTGGACAGACGACAAGCCCGAACGCATAAATATTGTGGTTGAGTATCTATTAATGTCGGGTATAAGAAATTGTGTATAACCATACTCCGACATGTTTCTCGTAAAATACTTCCGCAAATGCTAAAAGAATTGGCGACGATTTTACTCACCATGAAAATAACCTAAATAAAACGTATTTGAGGCTAATATAGCAATATAAAATCGAGCATAAGACACCAGACTTCAAAGAAGCATTAATATGGAAACGATTTGATACGTGACGTCATCGTTTTCGAATTTATCCGGCGGCAAAGCCGTCGTTTTCATATTCTTCCACTTCCACGTGTTGGCCTCTTATATAGACTATAGCCCCTTCTCTTTCTGCTTCCTAAGTTTTATTGGCTTTTCACGAATAGTATTCTTTCTAATCTTCTCACATCACAACTCACAAGATGTCAACTGTTTTCATCATGATTATGATCTAAAAATGTAATCCTTAAAGTTTACTTAACCCCCCTTCTAGATCTAATCTGACTATTGAGGCGATTCTTCATTACGTCCAATCTTTTCGTGCTCGTCACGGTCCGTCGCATGAGAATATTTTCAAACGAAACGAATGTAAGAAATGTCAGCTTTCCTGTATGTGTTTCATGTTCCCCGTATAAAACTTCATGTTTAAGCGACTGCATACACCCACAGCCGTTCAAGCATTAAATTTTATACGGCAAACATGAAACACATATAACGGCAAAAGCAAAGCTGAATTTACTGCTTAGTCTTTCCTAAATACATCAAATATAATCTATTGCTTTCTTACATTATTGCTGAACGAGTTAATAGTCTCTATTCACTATTGTGTCCATAAATGCGGACAGTAAACAATTAGTAGTTGTTACTTATTCATTCAGCCACAAAAAATTCACAAGGTCAAGTGTAAAACATTTTTTGTATAAACTACATAAAAAGACAGATTAGCGTTATCTCGACTGTATTTATGCCCGTCTTCCAGCCAGCAAGAGAATAAGTTGTGTTACAGTATATATGTAGCTCTACACTCCAATATACTATGCTATAATAACTGCACACCCAAAAACGCACAAGTTGTAACAAGTCTGCAAACAAGTTCTTACAATTTTTTCACAAGCTCGCAACAAGATATGTTCCCACGGGTTACTTCAACTGCCGTGTAAGATGCTACTTCAAGCGTTGACGCATAGTCGTGTCGTACTTAAAACATTCATCATTCATGCTCATTATATTGTAAAATATTCCACAGCAATAATTTGTCTTACAAAAGTAACTAAATCTACCAACAAATTTAAGTTTTTTGGTGAGGTCTCGGGTGACGTAATACTTTCCCAACCGCGATACTGATGCCTGGTTTACATTTAGTCGTGACTGTCTTGAATATGGTCGTGAACATGTCAAGGAGGCTGGCGTGATTGAATATTTCTATTGAAGTATGTGCGCACAGTCAACAATCACCGATCAATTGAATACATCAGGTCTGATCAGCTTCATAGAAGATCTTGGCATTTTTTTCTTTTTTTTTTATTATAGCGCACAGCCGCACACGATGCTGGAAGAATTTGAAAACGCAAAATTATTTCTCCGTTAAAATTTGTATCCGCGTCCAAACGCTTAAATTACTTGATCCCACAGTTCCACCCTGCGCACTTCATTTGTTCAGTCCTGTTTTTATCAACCGGGAAAAACTCTTATGATTTTACCAAAGTAGATACTAATTATGTTTTCACATAGTAAAACCATGTAATTGTAATTTTTAACCTTTTTAGGATTCATGCATTCGCTTCTTTTCTTGCTAACGGTGCTAATTTGTCTACCTGCATCGACTACCGCAGTACTAGTGGCATGTAGTGGTTCAAACAGCACTTGTCAGGAAGCTTGTTTGAAACATGGATGTACAAAGTGGGATTGTAATGGGTCCTTATTAAATTTCTGTGAACAATCATGTTTCCAGAAACAATGTTCACATTTAACATGTGACAAAACGATGCACAGATGCAATCAGGAATGTGGTGGATGTAAAACTATGAATTGTTATTCATCGGAGTGCAACCAAAAATGTTTAACTGGATATTGTAATCATATTACATGTGATGCTGCAATAAATTGTCAACAATTGTGTGTGTCTGCCGTAACCAGCGTTGCTATAACATTAAAGAATGCATTCAAACCTGCGTGGAGTCAGATTGCTCATTGAAATGCCTAAAGTCCGATGTATGTCTGCAAAACTGTCACGGAAATGGCTGTTCAGCAAATTGCCATAGTAATGAAAGCTGTCTTCAGACCTGCCATGACAAAGCAAACTGCACAAAACTCATATGTGAATCAGAATCTTGTCAACAAAATTGTAAGAATAGTTCTTATTGTGGTTTACTATCTTGCCATGGCAAAAATTGCAGGCAGGAGACATTCGTGGAAAAATCCGAACTGGTATGTACATCTTCTCGCTGCGAGGAGCAGATTTCTCATGCTTCAAACACAATATTATATTGTAATAGCGTCGACGGTTCATGTATACAAAAATGTTATGGCAGTGGATGTGTAATGACATGTGGACAGGACGTGAAAAAATGTCAACAATACTGTGGTGGTGGCAACTGTAACATGACCTGTGCATCTGGTGTTGATACTTGTAGCATGGAGTGCCCTGGAGGTAACTGTACGTTCTCATGTGGCCCAAAAAAATGTGGTGTACCACATGAAACTTCCAACGTAAATGTAAAAGGTAACAATGAAACTAAGAGTAAGGCTTTAGATATCGATGATCGTCCAGAATGCAAAAATTCTGGTAATAAACTTTCACTTCTTTTTCTTATATTTCCCTTCAAAATTGCAGTTTTCATTTCATGAATTTTTTTCACCGTCTCTGTAGTTCATTGTATTCGTACGATGTATTTAAACTTATCCGTTGTTACACAATATGCACAATTGATATTTAATTCATTTCAGGGTATACTACAGATAACATAAAAAAGGGGTTGTTTGAAGTTTTTTGTTATTGATATTATTGGTGTTAATATAGATAATAGCAAAGTAAAACGCGCACTAAATTACAGCCTGACAGTGGTTGCCGTAATACCGTTGTAGTGTCTGATGGTATATATTAATTCAGCAATAATTGGGCCAATGACTATTAAATTGGTAACGAGGATTTTTATGCGTATGCGTGATGGACATGTACGTTTGTGAAATTTCTGCAAACAATTCGAACATAGAAAATTAATAGTGAAAAAGGACTTTTAGACTATTTAGGGGCTGTTTACATGAGCCCGGTTACCCGAGATTCAACGAAGCGTGAGATGATTTTGAGGTATTGAAATAAGCAGATAACATGATCCTGGCAGTTATATAATCACCACAACAATAGCATGTGCTTGTTTGGTGTCATAAAGACTTATTTCAATACCTCAAAGTCCTCTCACGCTTCGTTGAATCTCGGGTAACCGGGCTCATGTAAACAGCCCCTTAGACATAGAGACATAGGAATGATTTTAAAAAAAATGGGAATTTGTAAGAAATATTCTGGGATCGATTACTTTCAGTCATCATCTTAAAAAGCTTCAGGCTTAAAATTGTCTGCAATTTGGCTCCCTACAGTTTCTTGGAAATGCACAAGGGATATTAAGCAGGTAAATGTTTGGTTTTAGGCAACATTACCAAACTAGAGCTAAAACCTATTCAGAACTTACCGCCTGGAACGTATTGCTGTTACAACATCCGCACTATAGATCACACACACAGAAATTATTTAACCTTTCTAAATGATGAAGAATCTTTAGTGTAAATTTTTACTTGAGAAATTGGCTCGGTTTTTCCTTTTGCGTCGCAGTTATGGAAAGCGCGTCACTTTGAACATGAATATAATGGGTGGGGTCATTTCTTAGGAATACATTCGCCATTCGTTACGTAATTTAATTTATTTCTGATATTTCCATGCTAAAACGTTCGTTTCTCAGACAATTGTGAATTGGAATTTCAATAATTTTTATACTATTCGCAGGAAGAACAGACTCTATGCCAATAATCATTAATGCTCTATGCCAATGGCATGATTGGCATCACATTTTTGACGCGTAGCATTTCATTCGGCTTTACATGAAGTTCATCACGGTGAAACGAAGGTTAATATAAAAAGATAAAATGAAGACGTATAGTATTATATTTATTTTCCTAAATATCTACATCAAATATTGTCTTGGCGAAGACGAAATAGAGGAATCAAATGCAAGACATTTTATTGAAGGGAAGGTGGTAATCCAGGGCGATAAACTACCAGGTATTTTGAATAAAATAGTTTATATACATGAATCATATTTCAATATACATGATAAATTTTAATATTAAATTCTAACCAAGTGAATGTTTTATAGTGCAGACGTTTTTATAGATTTTTTATCAATGTCCTTATTGTTTGCATAGTTAATCTAGTAGTACTTAGCTTTAATAGATTGGCTTTTCGACGTTTTTCGAAATCTATAACTTTGGAGGTGCAAAATACAATAGTTAATGGTTTGTCATTTGCTCACCTGCCACGCCAGTAGGTTTTGGGGTTCATTAAAAAGATTAATTGATATAGAGTAGCTCAGAATGATTTTGTCATGCTTTAGAATGGACAAGTGAAACTCGAGTCCTTGTGAATGGTGGAGAATATGTGGGGTTTCTTAAAGGCGATGGCTCATTTATTATAAATGATGTTCCATCTGGATCATATATTGTTGAAGTGGCTTCTCCCAATCATTTATTTGAACCTATGCGTGTGGATATTAATGCTAAGCGTGGCAAGATAAGAGCAAGGAAAGTAAACTTTCTTCAAAATTCAGCTGTTGTTACACAACCATACCCTCTGAAATTCAAAACCAAAGAACCTGCCAAATTTTTTGAAAAACGTGAAGCATGGAAAATTAAGGATTTTCTTTTCAATCCTATGGTAAGAACACATTTTTCAATTGTATGCCTGGTTGTCACATAATTTAGCAAGGGCATAAGGTAGGACCAAAAGGTAAAACAATGAGCAACATAAGCACCAACATAAGCACAACAATAAACATAAGACTTCAAGCATAAACCAAAACTCAATTATTTTCCTTTTTTTGCACTTTTAAGCTGGAATGTTTTATCTGCTATGCATATCTTCCCCCCCCCCCCAGTTATTCTAAAGACCACTTTTGAGATTTCTATATTTGAAGAGAAAAGGGGGGGGGGTACAATGATTCTAATTTCCAACAGCCTTGTAAATAAAGAAATTTTTTAATCAATATTACTTTTGATCACATTAAGAATAACATTTGAATAACCTATTAGCATAGGAAAAGACTAGATAAGAATGAGTTGGATAGTCTTGTTGACACATTTTGATTAGCTAACAACAGAAAGTTGCCCTTGTGAAAACTGTTTGTTTATAACATTTAAACCCCCCCTAGAGGTCTCGTGCTTTTGGCATTTGCCTCGTACCCCCGAGTCTGAACAACCTGGCGACGCCACTGCCTTAGAATGAAACCTCCTAGGGCAAATTCTCTTCTGGGACCACAGATCATTTGTTCCCACTTGTAATTTTGAGAAGTTGTTGAATTTTGATAATTTTGAGCCTGGTTTACATACAACTAGGGCATGCCTGTCTCATTATCCTTTATATATTTTGATGCATAAATTCCTTTTAAAATTATCTGGTTTATCCTAGTGCTTAATAAAAATCCTTTCTTTGTTTCATGTACAGTATGAACTTCAACATGCCCGAGCATTGTAAGGATTTTTTTTCAAAGACCCTGTATTATGAGTAAGACTTGTGATGTTCTTGTCTCAGGGGGGGGTGGGGGGCTCAGAATATTTCTATATCATATATGCCCTCGACGGGGGGGACCACAGCTCATGTATTTGCCCATGCTGTACTAGGATATTAGCTAAATTGTATACCATTCTGAAGGTTTTAATGATGGTTCTTCCATTGCTTTTGCTGCTTGTGTTACCTAAAATGATGGGACAAATGGATCCAGAAACACAAAAGGTAATACTCTTACTCATTTATTTAATTTGATGTAATACGCAATGCTGAATACCTTCAATGAGAACATACAGTACCTCACCTCAGTCGACCGATCAAGATTGCGTTGTGCACCTGGTAGGCAGCTTTTATTCTTTTTTACCGGCTATCTTTCTTTTTGACAAGCAAATAAAAATGCTGTTAAGAAGTCATCTGGACTACAAATCATTTGTTCCTATCTTCTTTATTTAAAAAACTTCCTAAGATTTGAAACTCTGTTTTTTCTGTGGGTAATTTTACCTTCTTTTCATACCTCCAGGAAATGAATTCTATGAATATGTTTAACCAATCCCAAGAAATGCCCGAGTTCTCCGATATGCTCACGAACTGGTTTTCCTCGGGATCAAAGAAGAAACCTGTTAAAACTGTAGCTAAGAAAACTCCAACTGCTCGACGACGATAGAAATATAAAACTACTTGCAAGTTATTGTTACTTTCTCTAAACAGCAAATTTAAAGACTTTCAAGCTTGCAAAAAAATTAAAGGCTGTAGGGGGCTTTAATAACCTGACTTTTTCTTTCCTTCATGCTTTTTCCTATAAAATATACTTAATATTGCACCAACACCTCACATTTGCGATATAGGGGTGGGAAAAATAGCGCACCACTCGGACCATTGGTAGAATTGTTTTTAGTTTAAAGTAGAAAATGGCAGAAAGAAAGCAAGGAAAATGAAACAGGGACACTGTTATCAGCTTTGTTTTCAATATTAGGAAATTATTAATCTTAAGGTATAAGTGCTTGGTCGGAATCTATCATGCCCATAATGCATGTTTATTAATGGCACGGCTCGGTTAAAAAGGGTATAGTTTAACTTTAATCCTTACTCAGCCTTTGGTTTGTTAGCTTGGGCACAGATAAAATTAGGTTTAGCAATTTTAGCTGTGGTGTGTCAATAAATTGAATGTAAACGGGCTATCATGTACCATGCCAATTTATAAAATTAAATTTATCACTGCACAATACAGCAAAAATAAGGTATAAATTAATGTATTTGACTATTTGTAACGTTTAAGAAATGCTCTTTAGGAATTGATTCTGCAACTTAAAGTTTACGTAATTGAATGATATTATATGTCTATAATCATGTGCTGTATAAAAGTATGTGTATTATATGATCCCATTTTACCAGCGCACAAAATGTGACGTTGCATTTCTTTTTGTCATCGATTTCCTTCTGTCAACGGTACAAACGGGTCTTCATTAGGGCATGCGAAAAATATTTCAAAAAAGATTTTTGTGAAAAATATTCCTGGTGACTTGTTGTACGCCGATAATACAAGAACAATCTTTTTCTGGTCTCCGCTCAAATTTTGTCAAAGCTTGTGTAATTACATCAAGGCTTTGAAATCTGGTAATTTTTAACTTTTCTTGTAAGATTTTCTTACTCGTGTCTGAAGTCGTTCGTTGATTATCTTCTAGATTTGTGACGTAACTTTCCTGAGGTAATCAGCTTGAGATGTGCTTATTCTCAACCATTTTATTAAGTATAGGATTTCACATGAACTTCAAATTCAACCATATTTTCCCTTGAAGTATAACCATATGAAGTTTTACCCAGGGAATGACCCACACAGCGTTACCTTGTCGAATTCGAAATGATTAAAGAATTAATCATTCTTGTTTAAAATACTTATCTCTTCCGATAAAGATTATCGAAGTATAGTTAGATTTAATTAGCTGAAAGACAAGGAATATCTGCAAACTTGAAACATAAATGATCATCGTTCACAGCAATTAAGCTCTTGAACATACTTGTTATAAGAGTTGGTCCTTTAAGATGAAGCTGTATTTTTATGTATTCTCTTTTTGTTAAACAAAGTTGAGGTAGTGCAATGCCACCATATATGTTTTTAACGCTCTTTTCTCTTTTTCAATATCAAATGACCACTTCTGAATGGAATGCGATTGCAGGGTAAATCTAAAATATCGCTTTCATTAAGCTTCGCTGATGGATTTAGTAATGATCCTTCAAATATTGCAAAATACTGGATATTTTCCTTGAATACACCAAGTGTCTTGGCAACAGCTGTTAATAGGTCTTTAACTAGGATTTTGTGTTGGTAATGCTGAATATCGATTCTTTGTAGTTGTTCTGGAATTAATGTCCATACGCAAACATTGTGATGCTTGCTGGGTTTATACTTGCTTTCATTATTCATGTCTAATTGCAGACAAGAGATTTTATGATCCTATTGAGCACGAAATTCGTTGACGCCGAATATATATATTCTTATCTTCTCATCCTCGTATTAATGCCTTTGTGTTGCCCAGGCACTATATATGTATATAAATAAACATTGGGGGCACTATAAGATTCTGATAAAAAAAGATTTAAAAATAACATACCTGTGTTTATACACGATAATTGTGATGAAAAACAGCTTGCATGACATAAAAAAATACAATGTGGTTCCATATTTTAGCCTCGTTTTATACTAGGAATCCCCTAATATATATAGGAATATATGGGCAGGCAGGTTTGGCGCCAGTATGTTGGAATATTGCAAACAGAACTATATAAGCCAGGGTTTAAAAAACAGCTGCGAATAAAGTCGCTATTGCACTATGCACTTTTCTTTGCAAATTGCAATGCAATTATAATTTTGAGGGAAATAGTGGCGTAGAAAGCATCCAGAAATTAGGGGGGGGGGGCAGCTTCCTGGGGTACTTTTGGTTAATGAAAATCCAGGCAGCTAAAAATATGTACAGGGACGGTTGATTGCCAAAACTGCGAGGACAGCACTATAATAGTGTGGTTTATATTTATGCTCTACAAAAAGATTTGGGCAAATATAAGTGGGCATATGAATGGGCAATATGTAGGAAACATATGCTCACACAGATCGTAAAAAAATGTTCGTATTTGACAACTTTAGATGCTTCAAGAGTAGAATTGCATTGCAAGTTGCAAGAAAAGTGCATAGTGTACCGCCTTTAGCCACCGAATTAGTATCACACGAAGTATACCTTTATATACCAAATTTGTGTATATACTAAGCCAAGGCAAGGGGTTGCGATAAGCCAATATACGTCTAGTCCCGCGTCGGTGTTGTTGAAATGCACAATCATAACGATGTTAACATTCTTCGTTGAACGAATATGGAGACTGAAACTGAAAACTTATATGACTATAATGACAGCAAAAAAAATGGCTGACAGCCTGCTAAATAATTTGCATCATATGGTACTCTGGAGTACACTCACGTGCTTTTATCTTTATTTCTTTCCAAACTGATTATTTTGCTCTTGGTGGCAGGCATTGTTTTCCAAGTAAAGATATAGAATCGTTGTTAGAGCCTATAGGTACAAGCTAGCTAGGGAGGTGAGGGAGATCTTAAGTAGAAATTCCCCGATTTTTCATTTGGGTCGCACGCACTAATTTCCTGGCACGGCGTATTTTCAAAATGTTGTCATATAAGCATAGATCATTGAATTCAGAACCAACCCGATCTACATTGAATTCTGGCTACCTGAATTGTATAGTATACACTTTATTACTATCAAGAAAACTGCATGCATGTTGTGTCCGTGCTGAATGACGATCTTTTTGAACTCGCTATCACCACATTAAAATGTTCAAAAGCGGGTGAAATAAATTTACATTAGTCAAAGTACTGAGAAAAAGGGTTAAACAATAGCTTAGACGACTTAGACGAGGTTTGAAAATATATATAATATAAAATATGTATTGTCAAAATAGTATTTTTTTAAATTGTACATAGTCAATCTGTAAAACACGTGAGTAAATTTTACAATGCCTTGGGATTATATGAAGTTATGAACGTGGAGGAATTCTGTTTTGGACTAATCAGCAACTTTGTTTTGCTTTTTAGTAATGCAATCGGAAGGCATAAATTGTCACTAACCGGCTTTTGGTAAAAAGGTACATTTTTACAATTTTAGATGACTGATTGTTTAAAAATCCAAGCTTTGTCTACTGAAAAAGGAAAACAAATTTGCTGATTGGTTTAAAACGAAATTCCTCCCTTGTTACTGATCTAGGTGACCTATATAACATGAGATTTGCCTTTTGATTTGTTTTTTAAGATGATGTCAAAGTAATCGTTCTAGTTTACTTGCAGATCTCAGTCATATGACATATAAACAAATCTTACCAGACGTCAACTTTGGCACATTTCTTGATTTGTAATGCAATCAACTCCGCTTTATCTCATTTAAATCTACACATATACCCACATTTCGTAACCTTGCTTCACGAAAACAACTGCAGTTAGCCATCTTTTTCCCATCTCATTAACTCTTGTGATAAACATGAAACAAGCCGACGTAGAGTTAATCCAATTTCGATTAATATTTAATTTTGCCCATGCTGCAAAGTTAACCAAATAATATATTGAGATTTTTTATTCATCTTTAAAAAGTACCACGCTGGGTATTTGAAACGACTGACTTAATATCAGAAAGTCTGGAACTCTTAAGTAAAAAAAATAAAAAGCTGTGTTACTCCAGTGGCAGTGCATTAATTGGCAATGCTGTACATACATGAGACAAATTTCTTACCCTATAATGGCTATATGCATACTGACTATATTGTACTTTCAAATATTCCGGGATCTTTTACAATATGTAGGTGGATAATTATATTCATTTTGCATTTGAATGAACACGAATATAATTTATCTGAAATTAAGATATCCCTGAAACAAACGACCTCTTAAAAAAAGAAAGTCTGAAAATAAAAAAAAAGGTAATACATTAAAATTAACAGGCATGCAGAATACAGTATATAAAGCGAATTATTGTTAAACTATATAAATACGGTTTTTGACTCAGTGCAATGAGTTCAGCTAGTATGTCTCTTGCATAAATATAATGCGATTGTGCGTATAAATGTCACTAATGATTTGATGAAAACCAAAAATACCGTAGCAGGTTTTATCTGGAGATCAATCATCTGCCCTAAATCATCTTCATCTGTTTTGCTGAAGAACATTCTTTCTAATATTTTTCTCTAATATTTAATAACGTGTTAAAGAATGAAAGTTTTTAGCAATACGTCTCCCTGGTCTTGCCAAATACTCATTCATATATAGTGAGTACAGCATATATACAACAGCATTGAGTTAACACTTAAACCATGCAGTGTGTCAGTTTTTAGCAGCTATTCACGAAAGCTGAACATCCTGAATAATTTTTGTTATCATGTGAAGGACCCACACAAAAGTTCATGAAGAACCGCGACTCAACGTCTCATATTAATGGAGTTTAGATATAGATCCATATCTGCGGAAAGATATTCAAGATTGAAACAGTCGATACCATGTGAGAATTGTCTCCGGTAATATTCTGTGAAATTTAGATATGCAGTCTTATATTTATCATATGTATTAAGGCGTGTACTCTTACATATTTTTCACCATGCGGGAGATCATGGGTCAATTTAATATCATAGATTGTGATAAAAGAAAATTTTCGTGGTTTTCTTTTAGTTTTCACTTGTGTACACCAATTCTTGCTTCATTTTTACTCCGCTGAACGCCAGCGACTTACAAACATGTTACAAACTCAGGGCTTCACAAATTACGAGAAAACTGCATGTATGTGTACAAAATAATTAACGCTCATTCGGAAAATGAAATTGTTTTAATAACTGCAAGTTTTAGCTATGCTTCAGTCACTCATGTATAAGTAATGAAGCTTTTGTTTGGTTAAAGCCTTTGCGTTATTCTATTCCGAGTCATTTTATTTACGGTAGAATGTCGCGCGGCCGACCATTGGTATACTCAGCCGACCGACAGCTTATGATGCATGCGTCTTGAAAATACGGGGTATAATGGCAGTACTCAATTTCCACACTTTCTTTGTTTCGTCAAGTGTGGGTAGATCATAAGTTTTGCCATAATGATTAATAAATTACTCTCAGATATCGTGTTGTGAAGACTCACGCTATATTCCTAGTTGTTAACAAGCGTCATGTTGCTGGGTAAGATAGGGGAGATTACACAACGCTGTATGAGTTATAGGTACCGATTGCCCACAAGTAACAAATATCAAGAAATTAGAAATATAGTTAGCACTCTTGGAACGCTTAGAAACAGCTGGTTCCAAAGAACATTTAAAAAGATAATATTTCTTCTAAACATAAAAAGGCTTGCAAAATTTGCATGTCATCAAGAATAATTCTTCTTAACTGAACATCTGACGTTTAGTTCGCAATTCAAATGAAGTTTAAATTGATGTTATTAATAATTCACAATTTTGGGCGGTACAAAATATAATGCACAAAGTGAAGCTTTTTGTATTTTCATTGGTTTTCTATAAGCTAGTCAGGGAATTGTTTTGGAAAATATGACCCAAGTATAATATTAAAATGCAAATTTTTGGTCAGCTCCGTGTGGCGTAGCAACAGTTAAAAGCAGATGTTGGGGTATTGCTACAAAACTTGGCAGTAATTACAGTGTAGAAGAAAGTATTTCATCCTCTTATTTCCTAACTAATCACAAACTATGGGAAAGAAACATAGCACCTTATCAGATGAACATCTTGAAAGACTCCGATCAAAGACACAGTTTTCCGATGAGGAAATTCAGAAATGGCATGATATATTTAAGAAGGATTGTCCAAGCGGTAAAATGTCGCGTAGCAAATTTGAGGAGTTGTATTGCAGTTATTTTCCTGAAGGGGACGCCAAGAAATTTGCCAGACATTGTTTTCGAACATTCGATAAAAACAACGACGGAACTATAGATTTTCGCGAGTTTTTGTGCAGTTTGTCAATTATATCTCGTGGTTCCCAGGAAGAGAAGTTAAAATGGGCATTCTCTATGTATGACATAGACAGCAGTGGGACAATAAACAGAGAAGAAATGTTGGAAATTGTACGTGCTGTCTTTAAAGTCGCTGGAAGAACGAAAGTAAAGTTAGCAAGAGATGAAAGTACTCCTGAACGAATGGCACATAAAATATTCTCTTTACTTGACGCCAACAAGGACGGAAATATAAACGAAGCTGAATTTATCGCTGGTGCTAAACAATATCCAACGTTTATGAAACTGCTTGAAAATCCAAGCTGTATGTGATTTAGTCTTGTGATGAAGTCTTGTTGTAATAACCCAATTAAAAGAGGGATTGCATATTTAGCAAGTAGTATACACTCTCCTACAGTTCTATTTAAAGCACGAAGTATATATACACAAATATGTATGCTTGCATGCATGTCTACAAGCATGGCGCGAATAAAGAACTTTAAATACTTGGCTTTATATAGTATGATACATCTGTCCATGTAAAACGACATAATGGCTTAAATAATCTATTATTTATTCTCAACAGATAAACTATTATCAGTTGTAGTTTTAGGTAGCTCATTTTGATAGAAGCAATAATTAAAAGCTAGATCATGATGGGTGACATCTTGGGCACTTATCTCAGTCCCGTGCATATGTTGTCGGAATATATAGTTTAATTATCCGATCGCGAACATAGATCCATGTACACAGCACGTTTTTACACGCATTTTAGTTTATTGCATGTACAATATGCCATTTAATGATATTTAGTTTACGCACAGTCACAGAATTCACTGCTAAAATATTACTGTGCTTAAAATAATCTCACGGAATATTGTCAGTAATGACTTTGCTCGTATGTGAACACGATAGGCTTAGATACAACAAGTGTAGTTAGCTTGGTTAACTTGTCACTTTATATTTTCTCATTGTTCTAGCTACTAAAGAAAACCACATTATAAAATTCAACCTTTTTACAGAACTGCGAATTCGATTACAACACGTCATGATCTTTACAATGCAGGTGACGGGTGACCAACAATTAGTTTTGAGTTCGCGTTTACTTTTAGTTTGGTTTGACAGCAAAATCAAATATTGTAAATGATTTAGCAAACACCAGGCTTTTGAACACGGCGTTAAACAGAACGCCATCGACATCGGAAAAGTACCGGTAATTGAACAAGTATGTATAATTAAGAAATATCCAGTACTGCACAGACACAGTATTATAAAAACGATTGATGCAAACCTAATAACGTTGGGTTTGACAACAATCAGCTAGTATATAAAATTTCATTTAAAGTTAATATGTAATGACGTATAGGCGGTATAGAAATGCACAATGTGAGAGGTCCGATTTTAATAAAGTTTACAATATACTAGCTGAGATGACTGTGTCTCTTATTTAAAACATGGTAAGTTAAAAGGTGGAAACTGAAATCTTTTTATCTGTACAGAAAAGTATACAATTATGGTCTATGCATGCATGGTAAAGTAGCCTAAATTTAAGAAAACGATAATGATATATATTTCAGTTTGTCGCATACAAAATTAGTCAGTCCTGTAATTTTTTGTTATCATATAGTTGCAAACCAAAACAAACTGTTTTTGCCGGAAAAAGGTTTTGGCCCAGCAAAAAACACAGTCCTGTGTCAAGCTTGGGTGTCGTTCGCACCGAGTTTTTTAGGGGAAACAAACCTCTAGAGAAAATGCTATTTCCTTTTAGCCTTTAGGGCAAGATTTTCGCAATATAAAAATATAGCATCATTGCAATACCTAAATCAGTATATTATGTTCAGTTCAAAAATAGGAAAGGCCTCTGCCGGGGCTCGTGGCAAATTGCCCCTCGTAAAATTTAGAATTTAAAGATGGAATATTTTTAAAAACCTTTTTAAAGGAGTAGTGGTATAACTTTTGAATCTCGTGGTCTGGGATGCGTTTTCTTAGTCATTTTGACTCGGAATTTATAAACCAAAAAACGAGATACATGATTAAAATTTTACAGAAAAACTGGGTATCTGTGGTAATTTTAATTGCATTTGTTTCATGAGGTTTGTAAGTGTTTGATGGTATTAATTATTTAAAAGCATTCAGTAACATTTTGAGGCGCCGTAGGAATCAGTCTTACTAAACAATCTAACAATTATTCTCTCACTAGTAGGCGAGAAGAGCGAGAAGACATCAACTATGATGTCATGTCAGCATCGGAGCTAGGCCCTGGGGACGAAATAAAATGGCGGGTTGAAATAGCACTTTTCGACTGTAAATTGAGTATATTTATGTAGCATATTCCAAATATGTTTATTTGAAAGCCTTATGGGTCAAAAATACGTCAAGACACTTCAAATTGTTCAGGAAAATGCCGTAACTCTTCGAGATTTGACTTGTCTGACTTATGATGGCTTAATAAGTAAGTTGAAACTTTTATAGCTACACAGGTTAATGAGTAGTTGTTTTATTCTCAACTTGTTTTATTATATGTGTGATTCATGTCTCATTGCCATTGGTAGTTTTTGGTGGGTAAAACATTCCTGAAACTATTTTGTTTTCATTTTATGCTTGTTACTCCATCTTAAGAAGCTGTTGAGGAATTGAATATAATGTAAGTAGAAACACATTAATGCCAGAAATACATAAATTTAAGACTAATTCTACCTAGACTATGTGTGATTACCTGATAACTATACAGCTGAAATTTCTTTGAATGATATGTCAAAATTGGTGGTATGCATGTGCGTATTGACACTGTTATTAATAAGTACGTCAAGACATGAATGATACATCCATATCTTTTGCTCTTACCTATGTGCCAAACCTCTATCAGTTCCATAAGCATATAATTTCCATCATTAGCAAACCTTGTTAAAACATAATGAAAAGGCCATTTTAATATAATATGTATCTAATAATATTCTTGTACATTTGCATGGTGCCATCAAATAAGTAAATTAGCTTGTAGGTGGTACACCACTTAAGTATTTATTACTGTAAAGTAAGTAAGTATTTATTACATTTGTAGTAGTAAATACTTACCTGGTGTACCTACAAGCTAATTTACTTAATATGTATGTTGATTAAAGATCATTAAACTGCACTTTGTCATTGTAGACTTGATGAGCTAACACAATGTGAAGGAAATGATTTTCAGTTGCTATTTACAGTATCATCAACTGACACTAGTTATTTATGGAAAGCATTTGTTCAAGTAACCTGTTGCAAGGTACCAATAATATTGTACATTCATATCCAAAAACTAATTGTTGTTTGATATTCTATTTGGCGAGAGGTAAAAACCAAAAAGTGATTTTAAGTGAATTCAAAGATGGCTTACAATGAGGCAGTACTGTATGTCAGGCTTTGTTTTGTTGTCAGGCTTTGTTATACAACTTCTGGTCTTTGAAGCACTTTTGATCAGATGTAATATTACACAACTTAACTGTGGTCTCAAAGCCTGCCTGTAAAGACTGTCATTGTTCTAATCATTAGCTATCTGGCCCTGTTACGCAGTACATTTCTTTATGCAACTATGAAATGGACATAAGGTTTCCTACACTTTCTTTTCTTGACTCTTCACTAATTTACATCTCTTAAAAGTTGAATTATTCCAAGTTGCATTGCATCGCATCTTAGCATTTCGAACACTCTGATTAACATCCCTAAAAATGATGGTTGCATAGTGCAATGTTCAGCGACTTTACATAGCTATATGTTACCGCTTGCTTGTAATTTTAATAGTCTGATGATGTTTGTAGAATAAAGATGAAATATCACTGATTTTGTCTTTACACTCTTGTTTTATCTTGAATTTCAAGAATACAAGAGTATCGATTTTCGGAATCTTCGGATTTACTATCCTACGAGGAGTGGGATATAATGTTATAATATATAATACATATTATATTATAATATACGTAGCTATTTAAGTTATTTCGTAACATAATGTGCTCTGTACTTTTTATCAGTTATTAATAATGTAATTTTTATAATAGTTGATCTCTGCTTAGTACGGGTACAGTATTCACATGCGGTCATGGCTCTGAATAAATTTTGTATAGATAAAGAAGTCAACAAATGCTATTGAGACGGAAAAATGTTTGGACCTCGCGAGATTTTGTAGAGTGTATCGTGCACTGACGAAACGTTACAGTAAATGTTGAATCTGTCGAACAGAGCAGCTTTTCAACGGTACGTTTCGTGGTTTCATCTTGGATTTTTTGTGACGCCAGACATAAAAATGCAATCGCGGTCATGCAGAATTGATACACCGGCAATCTTTGCTGCCAGAGACTTTTAGCAATTTCATATGACTAACTCATTTTTGGTCAGAAATAATGGCGTGCATGCATTTTAAATTATTTTGTAACCTTCAATCGTTTTCTATAGAAAGTAAATTTGGAGAGTCAAGACCTTACGATATCTGTAATTCTCTCAAGGTAAACTTCAGGAAGAACTTTGAACAGGAAGATTAGCCGTTCAAATGACATAATTTTCAAAATAGCTATCAAACAGGGTTTAATCGTGTTTATATATGGCCCCCAATTTTTTTTTCAATAAACGTTTACAATGTAGGTGCTAAAGTTCTGTAGTTTCAAAAACATTATTTTTGCTCTTTAAAAGAACTCCGCGCTTATATTGCGCGCAACATCGCACTTTCAATGAATTTGAACAAATGTGGCGAATCATTTACAAATATACCGAATCATGGTGTTTGAATGTGATGCAATACTCTGAGTGTTTTAATTCTATGACAAAACCATACTCAGAGTTATAAAATTTATTGCGTTTGCTGCATGCATGCAGCGTCAAGTTTAGTATTTGTTTCATATTATGCTGAAGATGGCATGCGAACATGTCTTTGAGAAACATTAATACTTATTATTTATTAATACTTATTATTTTTGTATCAGTGTTGATGCCGTTCAAGCTGAACCAGTAGAAGAATGCTGTATATGTATGGAACGACATTCAGATGTTTCTCTTGCTTGTGCTCATAGTTATTGTAAAGAATGTATACACCAGTGGTAAGAATGGGAAAGTATATATATACGCTCGTTCCATGTGTCTATGTACTATTTTTTCGAAGAACACAGATAAGATAGCCAACCTTGTTCGTTCGCTAAAAGCCGTGTAGTTGTGCAGAAGCAATTTTCAAAAAAACAGTCCTGAGTTTCTGCGATTCTAATATAAGAAACACCCTTCTTCTTCATACATTCTCTGATGTATCATCCATATTTTTGTTAAACCTAAAGGCCCTGTTACACGGTGCAATTTTTCTTGCAACTTGCAATGCAATTCTACTTTTAAGAGATGTATATTTATTACACTTCATGCACTTTTTTTCTGCAAGACTGTTCACTAATTTACATATCTTAGAAGTAAGATTGCATTGCAAGTTGCAAGAAAAATTGCACCGTGTAACAGGGCCTTAAGCGTGCAGATATTCGAATTATTGACTAAAAATCAACTGACTAGAACTATGCGTCCGTTAAATCACAGTTAAATATATGTTATGTTTATGGTTTTATCGAGTTTCGACATTTGAATGAAAGCAAAAATCCTACTGAAAAGTACCTTGTTCAAGTAACCACAGTTAATAGAATATACATGGTTTGGAGACTAAATAAAAGTACAACACAACTCATCAACTATGTTATTGTCCAGGTTTATGCAAAAAATGGTTCCTTTCTCGTCGCGCGTCTTTTGCATTTTACCCAAATTTACCAATGGCATTCGTCTTGCTAAGCTCATCAACCTTGACGTGAAAAATATGTTAATTATAAGATTGTTGTTGGTTTATCTGTGCAAAATATAATAAACATGTGATGAGTAAGGAACAATTTTTTGCTTAAATGCATGTACCTCAACATAGTTAACGAGTAGTATTGTAGTTTTATGTGGTCTCCAAACCATGTATATTCTATTAACCGTGAAGTAACTAAGTAGGCTCAAGAAAAATTAATCGTGAAAAAAGAATTCTGCAAAATAAAAACAGTTTAAGAACTACGTTATTTTAGGTTCGATGAGCATAAAACTTGCCCAATTTGTCGTAAAAAAGTGGACGGTCATGAGGAATTCTGGGTAATAGCTGACAAACCAACTGAAAGTGAAATGGCCGATTACGTCATGGGTTTTACAGATGAAGATAAACATTTATAAAGAGATTTTTAGTTCCAATAATATTCACTTTCGAAAGTCAGCATCGACTTTTGCTTTTAGAAGTTTTGGCATAGTGATGGGGCATTTAAATTATAACAATAGATTAATTTCTAAAGGTCTAGTTTTTTTTATGCAATATATATATATATATATATATATATATATATATATATATATATATATATATATATACTCATTTTTCCATAGAATATACAACAACTATTTATATATAGTCGTTGCCGAAAAGGTTGTCCTGTCTATATATACATATACAGTAGGAGGCAAAAGTTTGAGTCCTGTGACTGTATTTCATTGTTTTAGCAGCATATATTATTATTCTACAGAAAACCTTTAATACCGATAAGTGAACAAGAAAAAAAGTAAATAAGTCAACTGAAAAATACATGCTGTACAACAACTATGAGATGTTATGATATTCATTTAACGTATGTTAATGTTCAAACATGCGTTACATGTCAATGCTTAGTATCCTTCTTTTTTGCTCTTGAAACGGCCTTTATTCTTGCTGGCATAGATTCCATAGGCTTTTTAATGTCGGTTATGTCGCACGTTCAATACTTTGCCAGCATTCGTTGACCACTTGCCTAAAGTCATCCTGGCTGGTGGGTCTGTGGCTCGCCCTTTTCCGGTTAAAACGGTCCTACAAGTGCTCCATAGGTTTTAGATCTGGAATTTAAGGTAGAAAGCCATGAAAGCGAGATTACCAGAACTAGTTTGCTTCTAAAGGATTTCTGGCACATAGAAAATGTGCATGTGCTTAGGGTGATTATCATGTAGTTAGACGCGCGATCATCTTTGTACCAGATGAAATTCCATGTCCTTGAAGAATTGAAGAATTGGATGATACTTTTCTTTAATTAGGATCCTATTATATCTTTCAATATTGCCAAACCCAGCATGACCGAAGCAGCTGAAAGTTTGCTTGAGTAGGATTTAGTTTCTTCGAACCTCTTCAAGGTTAATTGCATACCACCTTTTGAACTTCTCACTTTTTCTGCGATCTTACGAGGAAAGAATCCTTCAATACTTAATGCAACTATTTTTCCTTGTGTACCATCACTTTGCACTTTTCCCCACCCATCTTGGGCAGTGTAAAGGAATAAGAACTTTATTTTGTCATAATTTAGATCACGAGGACCAAAACAGTGTACAATTAATATGGTTTACAGTACTGAAACACTAGCACGCATGTGTCGAGAATTAGCCTCCGTTCAGTATCGTTTGTCCTCGACAAGTCTCAATTCACACAAATTCGATTGGGTTTATGAAATATATTGATTAACAAATAAAATTAAAAGTTATACTAAATCTTCACCCAAAATTCACGTTGCAGCTATGTCGAATTAATATCGCGTCTCTCGAGTCACAGACCGTTTCGCACACTATGACCCTCTATCACCAACTGACTCTATTTTGTGCAGATCCCTTATTTTACCCATATTGCTTCCCATTTCTGTGCAGTGCGTGTCATCACCTATTATTTCGTGCGCCCCGTTGTCGCTCAGTCCCGACACACTCCCCCCATATATCTTAGTGCTGTGATATATGTCTACAAAGGGTCTGAGCTAGTGCTACTGATTCAAGCTTAAATGCAATCTAATATTAGTGTCCTAATATGGATAAGTGTCACCGTTCATCTTCTTCTGCTTGATCCCGTAAGCGGATTGCTGCCGCTGCTGCTGCATCACGTTTCGGTCGGGGTTGGAAGGGAGGGGTGTCTGGGTTTAACGTGGTTGGAGGTGGTAAGTCACAGGAAAGTTCTATCGGGTAGAGTTGCTGTATTGCACGTTCAAGAATTCCATTTGGCGTCCTGATCTTTGCTCCCCGTACTACGTCATCACGCCCTCGAATCAGCTCTTCGACTACGCCCATCTTCCATAAATTTCTGTTCTTCTCCTCTCCTTCGATGATAACAGCATCACCACGGTTGGGATGATCTGCGTTTTTCCCATTATCTTGTCGGTGTCGATCTCTTAGCCCACGAACGTATTCTCTATACCACCGTCTCCACAACAAATCCTTGCATCTACGAAGAAACTTCGCTCTCTTCCGAAGGCTGTGGTCCTCAACGTGATAAGATTCCACTTCAGGTAAGATAACTGGATTTATCTGCAACATTCTTGCGGGGGTGAGAACAGTTTGTTCTACGTCGTCTTCAACGTATGTTAACGGTCGATTGTTCATTACAACTTCTATGTCTAGGATCACGTCTGATAATTCTTCAAAGGTTAGATTACCGTTCCCGATACTTTTATAAAAACATCGTTTAAAGAGCCCGATCAACCGCTCGAACTGTCCACCCCACCAGGGTGCGCGACTCAGGTTAAACCTCCAATGGATCTCCTTGTCCGTAAGGAAACCGTTTATGATCTCATTTCCAATTGCCTTTTTCAGCCAGTTTGCCGCAGCCTTGAACGTAGTGGCATTATCTGAGTATATGATTTGTGGTCTCCCCCTTCGAGCGATCAATCTTTTTAGGCTAGGCAGAAATTGGACAACCTCCAATGATTTCAACAGCTCCAAATGAACTGCTCTTGTGAGGCTGCACGCGTAAAGTACCAGATACGCTTTCTTCTCCGCTTTTCCTGCTGTTTTGTATTTGATTGGTCCAGCGAAGTCGACTCCTATCACTTGGAACGGGGTTTCTCCTTGCGTTCGCGTAACTGGTAGTCGTCCAGGCGGTGGTCTGTGATACGCACGAGCGCGGAATCGCACACATCCATGACATTTGCTTCGTACCTGCTTCACAAGGCGACGTAGTCTAGGTATCCAGTATCGCTCACGAACTTCAGCCATGGTCGCCGGTACTCCCCCGTGAAGAGTGATGATGTGCGCTTGTTCGACTAGTTTCTTTGAAAACTGCGAATTTGCAGGCAAGTATACCGGATACTCGCCTTCGATTCGCCCGCGACACTCTAGAATTCCGTTCTGGTTAGGTTGGAGGTTTAGCTCGATTTTCGTACTCTCGAATTCCGGTGCGTCCCTAGCTCCATCTTGAACTCGTTTAATCCACCACAACCGTGCGTCTTCGATCTCCTGCGTCTTTATCGGTCCCAGGGACTTCGCTTTCCTTTGGGTGTGTTGAATGAAGCGGTTAATCCAAGCACAAATTCGAAGGGTTTTCCGCAACGTATACCGCTCTAGTAGTTGGTCAAACACGTCCTCGTGTGCCGTTTGATTCATCGTGACCAAAACTCGCGTCGACGGTTTTTCCTCTTGCTTCGAATCCGAACTCGCCACAGGCACAACTTCCGGTGGCCACGTCTCCTGGTTGTTAAGCCACGTAGGACCGTGCTTCCATAACTCGTTTCCCACCACATCTCCTCCGCGGCTCCCTAGGTCAGCGGGATTTTCGTTCGTTGGGACGTGATGCCATCTGATCCGGTCGAGTTCTTTGACCTTTTTCACTCGGTTGGATACGAATTGCCGGTACTCGCCTTGTCCATTGATCCAATATAATGCGACTGTCGAGTCCAACCAACAGTGTATCTCGGTCACCTTCTCCATTCCGATCGCTCGCTCGACGTTCGTCACTAAGTTTGCGGTCATATGACCAGCGACAAGCTCTAAACGGGGAATCGTGAGGCTCTTCTTCGCAAGTCTGGACTTTGCACACACGATACCTTGGGTTGTTCCGCTCTCTTGCTCTGCGACTGCGTAGACGACCGCAGAAACTCCGTTCTTACTGGCATCCCCGAATCCGTGAAGGGTGATTGACTGTACTGGCTCTCTGTGAGGGGCTAAAGTTCGAGGGACCGTGTACTGGCCAGGCAGGTTTTCGTACCACTCTTTCCACCAGAGCCGGATATCTTTTCTCCCAACTCTTTAGGTGTTCGTTCAGGACACCTCCAAGAAGGAAGGGAGAACAGGTCAGCCCAAACAGCGCCCTAGTAAACCGATAGACTGTGAGGTCGTCACTATCTGGTGCCTTCCAATGGAAGCGTAGGGAATCTCGTTGGTTTTCGCGTATCCGGACTTGCAGGAAGGCTTTCTCGAGGTCAGCGGTCAGCACGATGGGGAGGAAACGTAGACGAACTAAAATATCCCACAGGTGGTTCTGGAGTGGTGGGCCAGGGTTCAAGCATTCGTTCAAGGATGGATCAGATGCCGATTCTTTGGCGGACGCGTCGTAAACGACCCGAAGTTTCGTCGTCTCTGCGGTCTCCTTTACGACGGGCTTGTGGGGAATGTAAAACTCTTTACCCTTTGCTGTGGCAGGTGCTGGTTCGACAATACCTTTCACGAGCTGATCTTGAATAATGTCGTTGTACTCTTTGTAAATTCCTCTTTTCTCGAGACGTTTCACCAGGTTGTTAAGTCTCCTTATGCTTCCTCTTTCGTTCGACGGAAGGTGTGGATGATGCGATTTCCACGGTAAGCTAGTCTCGTACCAGCCTTCTTTGTCGCGTGTGAGCTCGTCTTTAAAATCATCGTAAATCGCTTGAGAGCCTTTCTCGGTGGGATCTTCAAGACCGAGGACGTCTAACCGACACAATCGCTCGAAATCGTTTTGAGATGTTGTGGTCAGTAGCATCGTATTCTGGTCCAACTCGATTCCAGGACTCATGATCATCCAACCAAACCTTGTAAATTCCGCCACGGGATCACCGTCCTTTCCTACCAGGGGTTTGGTCCTTGTTTTTATCCGAGCATACTCGCCGTTTCCCAGCACGAGGTGAATGGGTAGCTCACTCTTTGTGTCGCGTTCGTCCATTTTGACCGAATTCAAATGTTTATATCGTCTCACGAGTTGGTCGTAATTGGGGTTACTAGTTGTCAGAAGCTCGCTCTTTTCAACTTTGTTCAGCTCACGTTTATTTTGCACGAATCGTCCAAGGAACTAACTTCTACATCGAAAACTTCTTTCGCTTTGTTTGCGAAGTCATCAACATGTCTATTCGCTGGCTCTTTATTTCGCTGGGTTAATGTTTAACGCGTTGACAAGTTTCGCGGACGCATAGGAACTGCCGGCGCCAGAATCAATAAGTGCGCGAGTCAACACCATTAACTTTCACAACAACAACTGGAAATATCCCTTCCGCGCTTGCCCCATCTGTCATCACTTTCTTAGCCCCGGGTGATTGGTCCCCTTCTTTTGTATGATCTTGACCAGGCCTTTCGTCGCGTTCAGCTGTACTGTCGCAGATGGATGAGTGATGACGCTTGTTGCAATGCCCACAAGACGTCTTGCTGGCACAGTCCGAAGCTCGGTGAAATTCGTAGCGCAGTTAAAGCACAAACCCTTTCTGCTAAAAGCTTTCGGTCACTGGGATCACGACATTTGTGCAGAAACCGCCTTATGGCCAAGATCGCCGCAATAAACACAGCCCAAAAGTTTGGTCATTTCCGCTCGCGCGAACAACTTCTTACGGTAATCATCTTTGCGCGGAGGGTCGCTTTCCGTTTACCGGATCGCGTTTTACCCACTGTCGCAAGCCTCAGCTAACTTCTCGAAATCCCATGTTTCCCATTCAGGATGCGGTCTCTAACTAAATCGCCCCTGATACCTGACAATTTATCTAATGTCATCGAGACATTTCCGTTAACCTGATCGAGTTTCCTCAAGGTCTGCAAGGCTCGCACGCAATAGGTCAAAGTCTCACTAAATTCGGCAATCTACGGGGTTACTGTTCGAAATGAGGTAGATCGAGAATCTCCCTATATAAGCTTTTGACAATCTCGATTCCTTGCCGAATTGTCTTGGAGAATGGCTTTGGCTCTATTGTAACCTGGTTGAAAAGGGCAGGGACTCGACGCATGTTTTGACCTTTGGACCCAATAATCTAACAAATACGTAAACTGGTAATGGGGGCCACGGAACTCTTATCAATCCCTTCGGTAAATTGCCCCAAAACCTAGGCCAGTCTTAAATGACCCATTAAACTTCGTGATCACAAGTTCGGTAGCTTGCGTTTCGACTTGGGCATTCCTGAGTTCCGGTTTGGGTGGGGTCATTTCCCTTTGCATGCGTGTTTCTGTTCATGCAACTTTAGTTCGCTCACGTTGCGCTCTAGTCCTGCAGCCTTAGCGTACGTTCTCTTCAGCTAACCAATCGCTCAACTTTGAAATCTGTAAATCAGCTACTTCGAGTGTCGCCTCAACACTGTCGCTCCAATCGAAATTCGCTCATGCTTGTTTCTCGCGATTTCTGTTCCTCAACTTGCGCTTGCACTCGTTAGCCCGGGTTTACAGATTGCAGTGTTCGATAGCGTGATAGTTTCACGCTACCTGTGCCAGGATTTATCTGACCCTCGTAACCAATTTCAGCTGGATAATCGTTCCAATCGATGTCTGCCTTGTCAACTGGAGGTACTTTCTCCGTTGGTGAACGGCCACTCCGTAACTGTCTCTGCCAGCAGTACTCCTTTTCTTCTTCCATCGTTGTTCAACGAGTTCGCAATCCCGTCGGAGGTGCCAGGTGTCGAGAATTAGCCTCCGTTCAGTATCGTTTGTCCTCGACAAGTCTCAATTCACACAAATTCGATTGGGTTTATGAAATATATTGATTAACAAATAAAATTAAAAGTTATACTAAATCTTCACCCAAAATTCACGTTGCAGCTATGTCGAATTAATATCGCGTCTCTCGAGTCACAGACCGTTTCGCACACTATGACCCTCTATCACCAACTGACTCAATTTTGTGCAGATCCCTTATTTTACCCATATTGCTTCCCATTTCTGTGCAGTGCGTGTCATCACCTATTATTTCGTGCGCCCCGTTGTCGCTCAGTCCCGACACATGTCTTAACTCGAATACGCTGCAATGATTCAATACTGGAATTCTGTATAATTACCTTGAACATCAATCACGTGACCTGTATATTCCCGTGGGTTTTGCGTGGTTTTCGGCGACCTCATGGATAATTTGAGAATACCAATACCTTTAATATTGTAATAATAGTTCTCATATAGCGCTAGAGGAAATAGTTAATACCGTGAACTCTTTGGAGATTCTTTGTGAAATAAATGTGAATTAAATATTAAGCTACTATGATGAATCAAATATAGTAGGCATGATGCATTTTTGCATAGAGATAAGCACGTGCGCGAACGGCTATATATCTCCTCAACCGCTACCAATTCCGGCAGGCACCCGAGTTCCTACCATTGATGAGCTTACTGTGAAAAGCTAACTGACGAAACGAACCGCAACATGTCAGCTGATGAGCTTTCAGACTGCGCATTTTATAGGAGAAGCCAGGGTAGGTAGAAAAGCCTGGCTCGTAATGGACCCGACCTATGGATGAAAAATTTGGATGGACCCATTTTGGGATGGACCTCTGACCTTTCGGCTTTAGTCTCGTCGTCGTTCCAAAACAAATATGGCGGATGCTTTAAGTCATCCAGAAATATTACCTTTGGAAAAACTTCAAGATATCTTAACTTCTCGGGGAATACCTTTTAAAGACCTTGTAAATAAACACAAAAGCGATTTGGTTCAACTATTCTATCGCTATGTCGTCCCTTTGCCTCAAAGAGAAGCAATATGCGACGAGCAAATAGGCTTAAAATTGTTAGAAGAAAATTAATAGGCAAAGATCGGGAATGCAAAAGTCGTGGAATTAAGCGGTAATATAACCAAATGTGGAAGTCTTTTACACTTTTTAGATGGATTTTTAGACCACCGGATTATGAATACTGCATGCAAATGATCTTTCTGAAATACCTATGGTGTTTTAACTGTTTTAAAAATAAATTTGTAACACAACGTCAACATAACTACAATAGTATACATAATACATGTTCAACAGAATTCTATTAGGGGGGGGGGGGGCAGGTTTGAAAAGTTTCTGCTCACATCTACATACACCTTAGTTACAGAAGAGGTTTTGAATAGTTGGCCTTTGCTTGTATGACTGTATGTGGCATCTAATACCTAAAACTAAGGACCTTTCACTCTTGTTTAAGGCTTATTTTTGTAAAAATATACTCACAGTTCACATTAGATTACTGAATGATGGACTCGCAACAATTGCAGCTCACAAATAAACTTTCCAGATTATTTGCAATTGTGCAAAGGGTCAAAAACAGAAAAGACATCTAGGTTTCATGGTTTTACTAATCACCCTCTAATTTAAATTACCCCAAGACATGCATGACTGTATGCTGAAAATATATATCCGTTTCTTGTATATAGAATGCAACCTGGTTTCCAACCTGATAGTGAGGTGAAGAAGCCCAGTTTGTATTTTTTAAGGTTAAGAAGGCTGTTTTTTCCTTTTAACATGAATTTATAACACTACACAAAAAATTTCTGAATCATACTAATTTTAATATTTAAATCTGACCTAAAGCCTTTATTCCAAGAATTCTATATGAGTATTACAGTATTACTACAGGGTGTCCCAAAAAAAACGAAAACTATTGAAATCACTCATTGTTAAAATTTAAATGCCGTGTGCACGAGTTTTAGCCCGTGGGGATTTAATGAAACTCAGTGAAATGCTAAATGCTTTGTGTTGCTAGAGAAAGGGGACATGTCGAAGGTCATGGTGATTGAGATGCACATTTAAATATTGTTAATAAATATCATTTTCGCATACGAGCAAATTGGACTGCGTCATATGCATGTATAAAAATGCTTATGGCAAACATTTGGGTCCCAACAGAGTGCTTAGGCATTCAAACTCTAACAATTACATTGTTATGAGTGATTTCAATAGTTTTCGGTTTTTTTGGGACACCTTGTATTAGTCTGTACTCAATGCTCTAGTAAAACCTTTTGAAGAAATGCAGAAGAAATTAAACTGAAGTTTACTAATGAACTTTTGGTCTACATGACTCTGTGCTTTGATTCTACAAAATTACAAAAATTATTTATGACATGAAAGTTTTCATCTTCTATGTGTACGGTTTTACAGATTTGTCTTATTACCTTAAAATATATTTAATATTATTTGCCGTAACAGCTGCCTAACCTGTTAATGCTATTAATTAGAATTCTATATTAAAAAAATTAGCTGTTATAACATATAGTTCACCTATAGTTAATGATTTCCATTGTTCACATAGAAAAAACATCTCATCAGAACTTAACAAAAGAAAACAAAGAGATTTCAACTTTTCACATAAAATCTCTGCAATGCCTCTGGTCACTTCAAGCCCCACAACAGAATGTACAAACAAAGTAACAAACTTTTTATGAATTGTGAGGTGTCAGAGCCACTGAATGTGAATGAAGAATGTTTGGAAATTCAAAAAAAATCATTCTGCAACAAAAGCAAAAGTAACTGGACAAAGTAGCTCTTTAATGGAAGATGTATGTACATGGTTTGATCATAAGTTTTTTAGTTACTAGGATTGAATTCTGAGAACATTAAGAACAAAAACATTTTAATTTCTAACTCAGTCGCTTTCATCACTGTTTACATAGGCATACCAGGTGGTGGGGGGGGGGCAGGGGGGGCTGGCTTTAAAGAATGCCAAGTTGGGCAAATTTTCAACCCAGGTTGGGCAAAATTTCATAATTTCAATGCATAATTAATAGGTTACCCTTTTTGTCAGTTAACACAACAACTGCTTAATTTGCTGTTAAAACTTGAACCATAAATGACTGAAACACCCATATATGGTTACGGGTATGTATGTGAGGGAGGGGGGAAGGTTGTTTGAAAATTTGGCATTTTCAGCGTCGGTTGGGCAAAATGTTAACTGCCCCTCCCCTGAAACGTAGACCCTGTACGCCTATGCCTGTTTATATTAATATATATATATAATATATATATTAATATATATATATATATTATATATATATATATATATACGGTTTTACTTTTTATCTTCAATTGTATTGCATTGAGCTCTGTCGACCCAGTGACAACCACATTGTGTATATATATATATATGTATATATGTATATATATACATGCCAATAGCAATTAACGTATAAGAAATAAAATTGAATTGTTCCCTGCGTAAGTTTATTAAAAATATAAATTCAAATATAACTAAAGTTTAGATAACATACCATGTCTCCAGAGAACTGGACATGCACTGACCAGTGTACAACTAGAAAGTGTTTTTGCAAGAAAGGCTGCTTTTACATATTCTTCTAGTTTCCTTCCTGTGTTCTGGAAAAGGTTGAGGTCGGGTAATAAGCACCCCCTCAGAGGTTACTCCCAAGGTGGGGGTGAGGGAACAAGCACCCTCAGTCTATTGACTCTACCCCTTTCTAAGCAAAGGAACAAGAATGAATTCCCTCAATCTACCGTATCTACTATTGTATGCTGATTACACCTTCAGTCCATGAAAAACTAATGTTTCAATGTTTAAAATTAATTTAGGCAAGAAACGAGAACAATTCACAAAGCATTAAAGATAACGACACAAAAACAGCTAAGAAATTTAAACGAATTACCGTGACCTGGCCGTAGGCGTAGTATCACTGGTTTCGCCTATGCCGTATACTACGCCCATCAATGGACAACATGGGATTACCGATTACGGCAGCATTAATTGACACAACCGTCAATAACGAATACTGTCGTTAGGTGTACCGTGTACGATGGTGTTTCCTCAGTCCCGCTAATCTTAATGAGGGCTAACTATGGCCTGTATCGTATTATACACATGGATTATTCTATTATTATAGACTTGAAGACTTTTTATTTTGCGTATGAAACCGCTGAATGTACAAACGTTTCTCTGAACGACACAATATAACATTTGAAGGCGGAAATTGTAATTTATGCCGTGCCGTGCCGTTTGTCAGAGAATTTACGGTTCAACGAACTCCCTAATTTCCATCGCATTATAAAGAATGTTAATTGTTGCCTTGCGTTTTTAATTAGATTACGTTAAACAATTACCATAATTCACGATTACCATGCCTGCGTGGAGGATTTTTGGCTGCATTGAAGAATTAAGGTAACATCTCGCACCCATAAAGGCTTCAGGCTTGCTCTTTTTGAGGAGTTTTTAGGTATAAGGGGAAATACCTGTATGGAATGTTTGCATATTTTCACAAATATAATGCTTTTTTCCCTCTCAAAGCAGTTGATTAACATACCTGCGTCATACATTAATTTAATTAAACGACGAAAATGTTAGTGAAGTTAAGTTTGCTTTAGGCAGACATTGTGTTTAGATTGGCCAAATGCGAGTGTAAGCTAGTAAACCGTGACTAATGCAGGCGAGATATTGCCGTAAACAAACTTGCTTTATCAAACATATATATAAAACAAAAGTTTGATGTGAACAAAAAAAATTCAGGTAATATAAATGACCCATATATATACAGCGTCAATCAAAAAATGGCATCAAAAGTAAGATTTTAATGTATTAAGGCCACATTAAAGCACTAACAAGTCAGTCAAACTTGTTTGTTTAAATACTCAAGGGCGTAGGGATATGTTCAAGATTGAGGTGGGCCCGTTCACGAGGCGCCACCATGGTTGGCGCCGAGCAAGAAAATTTTTGAAATTTGATTGTTTTAGATCCTCGGAAATGCAAAGAATGAAAGTTGAGGTTTACACATCCAACAGCGGAAAGCAAGATACAAATTGTAATATTTCAAACAAACGTTCTGAAAAGGTAAGTAAATTATCACAAACAAGGTAAAGGCAATCACGTAGCTATAGCCTAAACCTGCGTCACTGCGTGCTCGAGAATGCTTCGGTTTTTCTACTCTGGGGACTTTGCGAAGTTCGAAGAGAAGACCAATCGCACAAATTCACAATGTATATTGGGTTATATTGCTTAATAGACCTTTACGATAGTTACGTCACAACGTCCTTGCCAATTGATCTGACACATTTTATCACTGTGACTGTGTAAATTGTATTTGTATCGAATAACGTAGTATACCAAACAACGGTTGTTAGAAACGATACAAACAAATCGTATGTTGATCATACTCAAGGAGAATTTAAGTCAAGATAAAATTCATAACAATTACCACACTAACTCATTTGTAGGTTAAGCAAGTATAAAAAATAAAAATGCGACCGAGCTAAAAGAATTGAATCATTGAATTCAAGAAGTGAGCTTTTATCAAAATGTCGGACTAAGAAACAAATTTCTGTAAAGTAGTACACCTTATATACTGTTCTCTAAAGCAATATCACCTTATGTAATCCATTCATATAACCCGTTTAAATGGCGATAATGTAGCGCGTAAGCGCGACGACACCAAAGAATAAAAACCCTGGGAACAAGGTTGAATAGGTTGAATAGACCGAAAAAGAAGCGACTCCAGAAGAAAACGTAAACAAAAACACAAACGCACTCAAATTATTATAACACATAACTTTTACGAATAATTATAGTGCACCGTTACTTTCTTGTTACAAAATTTTGTGCCATAGTCATAGAAAAGATTAAAAAACAACAAAAATCCAAACAACTTCAAAGACTATATATAAACACAATATTAAAAAACAAATTCCAAATAGACAAAACATCTTGAAAGTCAATAAAATAAGATTCAAACAAGACAATTAGACAAGTTCCGTAGCTTCCGCAAGTTCCTCAGGCTCTGCAGTCCCGTTATTTAGCCACACCCTTTCATACAAAACAAATTTGTGGTGAGTAATAATGTAATATCTTATAAGGTAACATGATAATTTTATGTAATTTAAAATCGCAGAAAACCAAGGAAAGGCGAAAAACCCATGAAATATTCGAAGTAACAAACAACTCAAAAAAACAATGTGGTATGTAAAGTTGTATATTCCTAGCTGTATTTAATAACCCTTTCAAGGACTTTCAATTGGCGTTATCATTCAAACCTCTCTATCATCCTAAGCCCCTATTATACCGTATTCTGTTACTTTCCTACCTCCTTTTACATATTGTTTCGAATGTTTCTTTCACACTTATGAAAAACTCGAGATAGAATGCATACATTATTATTATTTGAATATATAAGTTCGTGGGAAATACAAGTAAACTTGTCAAACTTTAGAGAAAGGATTAATTTCTGGATCGTAAAAGGTAAATAGTTTTCTCTTTTCCTCATTTAGAGTTTGCCTTGAACTATTCGAAAATTCAGCGTAATGAGATTGCTAGTACAGTCCCAAAATGGCCCAAAGATATATATGGTCATGGATGCAGTAAAGCGCAACAGTTTGAACCCACAAGCAAACGCAAGGTGGCCTGGCTCAAAGAATCCAGCACTCAATGCAATGATCACAACAGACCAGCGTTGTTGTGCAAAAAAGAGGTATAGTGCTTTTTTCTAAAAATTTATTTCCTACAAAAAAGTTTATCTTTTCGCCACAAGCACATTCCTGTAATTCTAACATGCTAATTCTCTCTAATATTCAGAAAGACCCTTCTGACGTTATGGATTCAGATGTTGATGAGGTAGGCGATGGCACAGGGGAACTGGACCAGTTTTTTGCCTCAATAAGTGGGTAATTTCATTAATAGAAATTTGAAAAGGAAGAGTTCTAAGAATAAAGGAAGCATAAAATGTTTGGGAACATGAAATGTTTTACTGTGAGTCATGCTAATTGATATTTTCCTTGGAATGATGAAGTTTATATATTTTATCATGCTTAGCCTTGCTTTTTAAAATTATTGAGTACATTGCTTAATTTGGAGTAAACTTTGTACATTCATATTATATTGATTGCAATGCTAATGCTGATATAGGCATGTGTTAATTAAACTATAAAAAATAAATCTTTTATTTCATTAACAACTGTTAAATGCATTTTGGCAAAAAATATACATGTATTTACATGTACCAAATATGACATCTCGCATTTAAACAATTTACAGGAACTGATGAAACTAACAAGTAATTATTATTCTCTGAAACAACTCATAATAGTGGTCTTTCTTATTTAGTTTGGCTCCCTATTAGACCTAGCCTACTGGATCCTGCATGAGTTGCATCACCTTATCTTGATGTTTATTAATTAAATACTTAAAAGAATGTAATTGTGTAAGTAGATAATAACCAGACTGATGCTAGAAAATGATGTTCAGACATTATCACCAAAGTAGTTTCGGATTTTATCCAACAACTCTCGTTTCACTTCATCTGGAACTAGTTCTAAAATACACATATACTATGGATAAGTTGCACATAGATGAATCTGCACACTTGGGTTGGAAACCTATTATAAATGTATTAGGCAAATATTACTAAAATTGGAACTTGCTCTAGATGAAAGTACTACATCTAGCTAATCCTAGTGAATTACATTACCTGTACATATTGCTATTTTATGATATATACACAGCCATGTAGAGTATATTTATTTGGTAATGTACCTCTTGCTTTTGGTGTAACCTCACTCACTAGGTCATCAACTGTCACTTTATCCAACCCTTTTTCTCTAATTATGTCTAGGAAAAAAGCATAAATATTCACACCTTAAATTATAAGAACTGAAATTGTAAGAAGATATAAAACAATAGGCACAAATTTAAAAATTTATTTTCTGAAGTCATCATAGTCAAGTGAAACTATAGTCATCATCATTCTTCTCCACAGGTTCCATTGTTTTATTTTGTTATATATCATAGTCTTGTGAGCTATGAATTTTCGTAAATTCCAGGATCTCTAAGTTGAATATCTTTTTTGTAGAATAGCTTTACCTTTGCATTCTTGAGTTAGTCTATCCCTCCAGCCACACTCCTTTAATCTGGTTCTTAATAACTCCATTAACCTAGTGCAAAGAAGATTTAACATTACATCATTCATGTACCACTTTAGAAAAAAACAAGCCACATGGGTATATATTCCTATGTAGTTCAAGGTCAATGAAATTACATGTCATTAAAAAGGTACACCTTGTTCTATCCATTTGTCAGATTACAATGTACATCAGTTATAACATTCAAAAAGTATTAAGTGTTCAATTTTTAACATGTCTAGTGTGCTGTTAGAGTAATTCAGGTACATACCTAATCACTGTTTAATAAGGTAGATAGATATATGCCTACAATTTAACCACGGAGCTTAATTTTTATGTTGTATTTGGATAGATATTAGATCAACGTAATTAACTGCTAATTATCAAGCATTAACAGCTCTTAAAATACATTGTATTGACAACTAGTCAACTATAGCCTTGGGTGTTTATAACTGTTAAGCATTAACACTTAACATCATATTTCCTAGCAGCAATAAAATGGTAAGTTTTATTCCACCTACAAGATCATAGAGATCATACACTGGCAAATGCTATGTGCTCACGAGTGTCGTTTTCGAGCGTTTTCAAAATCGTTTTCATCTAGTTTATCGCTGTGACGCCCTGCACACGCGATCCAAGGGCAAATATGCTAAATATGTTAAATTAGCTTCAACCCCTACTGTAAATTGATGGTGTTTGAAACCGTTTTGGCATGAAAACGAAAATGAAAACGCTAGAAAACGTTACCGTGTGCACATAGTCTTAGTGTCTACTGTCTAGTGGTACCAGTAGACAGTAGTCTAGTACTAACTATAAAGTATAAAGTATTTAAAAAGTCTACAATGCCTTTCTCGTTCAAAATTTTCATTTAGTTTGTCATTGATTGCACTTTTCATTTCTGAATCTCGTTGCTTTCTGTCCAAACTACAAACGTTTATGTAAAAAAATTGTAAATGATTGTAAATATAAAAAAATGTATATATCAATAATATTATAATATATATATTATAATATTATTATATCATTTTGTACTTACTCGGCAGCCATCTTGGCAAGATTTGTAAAACTTCATGTAACAATGTATTTTTCTGTGATGATAAAAATGGGTCGACGTCATAAATTTTGCAATAAAGGAAGTATAATAACAGAAGTCTTACATGAAGTCTTCCTAGAGCTGGTTCATAAAAATGATAAAATAAAAATGGCAATGAATGATGATACATTTATACATTTATAAATGTACACGAAACAGTAAATGTCTGTTACCCTTATACCCAGTATAGGAGTGATCATATACTTATGTAATAGTATCTCTGGCTTTACCTTAATTAGGGTTAGGGTTATTGAAAATTTTATGACGTCATGTACGTTAGTTCGATATGATCTAACGCCGACCATAAAAATGATGGTTCAAAATTTCATGATTTGTTGCCATATTTGTTTCAAAACTTATGTTAAAAGAAAATACACACAGCTTCGTTATTTGCCTTGCGATTGATCAAAATCATGATCGTTAGTATTTTTCAAGTAGTCTACCTGGTATATCCATTGATATTTTTGTTTAACGCAAGCTCATAACTTGCGAATGGGGTCAATTTCGGAGTTCGCAAATATCGAAAGATAAAAAATGGTAAAAGAAAATTGCTACCAAGTACCGAGAAAAAAAGTTGTTATAGTTTTAAATTAAAACGATTAACGCGAAAAGCGAAGGCTTTTATATCAAACTAAAGCCGGTTTTCCACTAGGCGATATTTTTCGATCATAGGAAACTTTTCGTTCGATTTTTTAGGCCCTGGGGACGAGGATGGAATGGGGCTTGTTTACTTCTTTCTCGACTTCTTTTTGGAATTTTGAATTCACGCTTAATTGTTATCATGAATTTGCCCTACATTTAAATCATATTTTTAAATCATTTTTGAGGCCAACAAACCGTTTTCTGACTATGTTTAATGAATATAATGATTCAGTATAACTTGGCATAAAATGTGGTTTAACAACTGCCTAAATGGACAAAAACACTTGTTATGGACAAAGGCAGTTGTCATACCACATTTGACGCTAAGTTATTTGAAGACGCTGCCACGCTGCTCCTTGGTTATATTGGAAATTATTCAGTAGCTCTATTAAACAAACCATAAAGAACGAACACACAAATTACCTCCCTGAATTTAAAACTGTGCAAATAAGTCTCAACAAGGAAGCAGGAACACGAAATGAAATCGCATGTTTTTCCTCGCTCTTATTGTTCTTGCTAAGCTCACCCCATGATGATGCTTTGCATCTCCCAAGTATATTTTACTATTCTGGACCTGCGGCTAATTCCCTGTAAGAGTAGCACGCCCGGTATAATAACTAAAATTCGCCGGAGATGTTAAACGCCCGAAGAATATCAAACGTCGAACTGGTAGCTATATTAAAAAATTATAGATCATGACATGATGAACGAATGTCTCAGGATGGGATGATGAACGAATGTCTCAGGATGAGATGATGAACGAATATCGCAGAATGGGATGAAGAGCGAATGTCTCAGGATGAGATGATGAACGAATGTCGCAGGATGAGATGATGAACGAACGTTCCAGGACGAGATGATGAACGAACGTCGCTGGATGAGATGATGAACGAATGTCTCAGGATGAGATGATGAACAAATGTCTCAGGATGTGATGATGAACGAATGTCGCAGTATGAGATGATGAACGAATGTCGCAGTATGAGATGATGAACGAATGTCGCAGTATGGGATGATGAACGAATGTCTCAGGATGAGATGATGAATAACGAATGTCGCAGTATGAGATAATGAACGAATGTCGCAGTATGAGATGATGAACGAATGTCTCATGATGAGATAATGAACGAATGTCCCAGGATGAGATAGCCCCCCCAAAAATTTCATGAAGAATTCCAGAATGAAGAATGAGAGATGCTTTTTCAAATGTAGAAGATATCACTGCACGCGCTGTGCCGTTTTCAGTTTGCGTTGCGGTTTGCCCGTGAAAAACTACGATTAAAGCGGCAAGTAAGACTCTGAAAAGGCCATTTCCGAAGATCTAGAGCACTGAAATTAAAAAAAATATTTCCCTCGGCGCCAACCATGGTCGCCCTTCGTGAAATCAGCCCCCCCAAAATGTATTATGTTCCGCCGCCCCTGGAATGGGATGACGAACGAATATCGCAGTGTGAGATGACGAACAAATATCGCAGTATGAGATGACGAACGAATATCGCAGTATGAGATGACGAACGAATATCGCAGAATGGGATGATGAACGAATGTCGCAGGATGAGATGATGAACGACCGTCGCAGGATCAGACTATGAACGAGTATCGCAGTATGAGATGACGAACGAATATCGCAGTATGAGATGACGAACGAATATCGCAGGATGAGATGATGAACGAATGTTGCAGGATGAGATGATGAACGAATGTCTCAGGATGAGATGATGAACGAATGTCGCAGTATGGGATGATGAACGAATGTCTATGGATAAGATGATGAACGAATGTCTCAGGATGAGCCGATGAGATGATGAACGAACGTCGCAGTATGAGATGATGAACGAATGTCTCAGGATGAGATACTGAACGAATGTCGCAGGATGAGATGATGAACAAATGTCGCAGTATGAGATGATGAACGAATGTCTCAGGATGAGATGATGAACGAATGTCTCTGGATGGGATGACGAACGAATGTCACAGGATGAGATAATGAACGAATGTCGCAGGATCAGGCTATGAACAAATGTCGCAGGATGAGATGATGAACGAATGTCTCAGGATGAGATGATGAACGAATGTCGCAGTATGAGATGATGAACGAATGTCTCAGGATGAGATGATGAACGAATGTCGCAGTATGGGATGATGAACGAATGTCTCAGGATTAGATGATGAACGAATGTCTCAGGATGAGATGATGAACGAGCGTCGCAGTATGAGATGATGAACGAATGTCGCAGGATGAGATAATGAACGAATGTCGCAGGATGAGATGATGAAAAAATGTCGCAGTATGGGATGATGAACAAATGTCTCAGGATAAGATGATGAACGAATGTCTCAGGATGAGATGATGAACGAGCGTCGCAGTATGAGATGATGAACGAATGTCTCAGGATGAGATAATGAACGAATGTCGCAGGATGAGATGATGAAAAAATGTCGCAGTATGGGATGATGAACAAATGTCTCAGGATAAGATGATGAACGAATGTCTCTGGATGGGATGATGAACGAATGTCTCAGGATGAGTTGATGAACGAATGTCTTAAGATGGGATGATGAACGAATATCGCACGATGAGATGATGAACGAATGTCGCAGAATGGGATGACGAACAAATATCGAAGTGTGAGATGACGAACAAATATCGCAGTATGAGATGACGAACGAATATCGCAGAATGAGATTACGAGCGAATATCGCAGTATGAGATGACGAACGAATAACGCAGAATAGGATGATGAACGAATGTCTCAGGATGAGATGATGTACGAATGTCGCAGGATCAGACTATGAACGAATGTCGCAGGATGAGATGATGAACGAATGTCTCAGGATCAGATGATGAACGAATGTCGCAGGATGAGATGATAAACGAATGTCTCAGGATTAGATGATGAACGAATGTCGCAGGATGAGATGATGGACGAATGTTGCAGGATGAGATGATGAACGAATGTCGCAGTATGGGATGATGAACGAATGTCTATGGATAAGATGATGAACGAATGTCTCAGAATGAGATGATGAACGAATGTGTCTGGATGGGATGATGAACGAATGTCGCAGTATGAGATGATGAACGAATGTCTCAGGATGAGATGATGAACGAATGTCGCAGTATGGGATGATGAACGAATGTCTCAGGATTAGATGATGAACGAATGTCTCAGGATGAGATGATGAACGAGCGTCGCAGTATGAGATGATGAACGAATGTCTCAGGATAAGATAATGAACGAATGTCGCAGGATGAGATGATGAAAAAATGTCGCAGTATGGGATGATGAACGAATGTCGCAGTATGAGATGATGAACCAATGTCTCAGAATGAGGTGATGAACGAATGTCGCAGGATGAGATGATGAACGAATGTCTCAGGATGAGATGATGAACGAATGTCTCTGGATGGGATGACGAACGAATGTCACAGGATGAGAAAATGAACGAATGTCGCAGGATCAGGCTATGAACAAATGTCGCAGGATGAGATGATGAACGAATGTCTCAGGATGAGATGATGAACGAATGTCGCAGTATGGGATGATGAACGAATGTCTCAGGATTAGATGATGAACGAATGTCTCAGGATGAGATGATGAACGAGCGTCGCAGTGTGAGATGATGAACGAATGTCTCAGGATGAGATAATGAACGAATGTCGCAGGATGAGATGATGAAAAAATGTCGCAGTATGGGATGATGAACAAATGTCTCAGGATAAGATGATGAACGAATGTCTCTGGATGGGATGATGAACGAATGTCTCAGGATGAGTTGATGAACGAATGTCTTAAGATGGGATGATGAACGAATATCGCACGATGAGATGATGAACGAATGTCGCAGAATGGGATGACGAACAAATATCGAAGTGTGAGATGACGAACAAATATCGCAGTATGAGATGACGAACGAATATCGCAGTATGAGATGACGAGCGAATATCGCAGTATGAGATGACGAACGAATAACGCAGAATAGGATGATGAACGAATGTCTCAGGATGAGATGATGTACGAATGTCGCAGGATCAGACTATGAACGAATGTCGCAGGATGAGATGATGAACGAATGTCTCAGGATCAGATGATGAACGAATGTCGCAGGATGAGATGATAAACGAATGTCTCAGGATTAGATGATGAACGAATGTCGCAGGATGAGATGATGGACGAATGTTGCAGGATGAGATGATATGAACGAATGTCGCAGTATGGGATGATGAACGAATGTCTATGGATAAGATGATGAACGAATGTCTCAGAATGAAATGATGAACGAATGTCTCAGGATGAGATGATGAACGAATGTCGCAGTATGGGATGATGAACGAATGTCACAGGATTAGATGATGAACGAATGTCTCAGGATGAGATGATGAACGAGCGTCGCAGTATGAGATGATGAACGAATGTCTCAGGATGAGATAATGAACGAATGTCGCAGGATGAGATGATGAAAAAATGTCGCAGTATGGGATGATGAACAAATGTCTCAGGATAAGATGATGAACGAATGTCTCTGGATGGGATGATGAACGAATGTCTCAGGATGAGTTGATGAACGAATGTCTTAAGATGGGATGATGAACGAATATCGCACGATGAGATGATGAACGAATGTCGCAGAATGGGATGACGAACAAATATCGAAGTGTGAGATGACGAACAAATATCGCAGTATGAGATGACGAACGAATATCGCAGTATGAGATGACGAGCGAATATCGCAGTATGAGATGACGAACGAATAACGCAGAATAGGATGATGAACGAATGTCTCAGGATGAGATGATGTACGAATGTCGCAGGATCAGACTATGAACGAATGTCGCATGATGAGATGATGAACGAATGTCTCAGGATCAGATGATGAACGAATGTCGCAGGATGAGATGATAAACGAATGTGTCAGGATTAGATGATGAACGAATGTCGCAGGATGAGATGATGGACGAATGTTGCAGGATGAGATGATGAACGAATGTCGCAGTATGGGATGATGAACGAATGTCTATGGTTAAGATGATGAACGAATGTCGCAGGATGAGATGATGAACCAATGTTTTAGGATGAGATGATAAACGAATGTCGCAGTATGAGATGATGAACGAATGTCTCAGAATGAGGTGATAAACGAATGTCTTAAGATGGGATGATGAACGAATATCGCACGATGAGATGATGAACGAATGTCGCAGAATGGGATGACGAACAAATATCGAAGTGTGAGATGACGAACAAATATCGCAGTATGAGATGACGAACGAAGATCGCAGTATGAGATGACGAACGAATATCGCAGTATGAGATGACGAACGAAAAACGCAGAATAAGATGATAAACGAATATCGCAGGATGAGATGATGTACGAATGTCGCAGGATCAGACTATGAACGAATATCGCAGGATGAGATGATGAACGAATGTCTCAAAATCAGATGATGAACGAATGTCGCAGGATGAGATGATGAACGAATGTGTCAGGATTAGATGATGAACGAATGTCGCAGGATGAGATGATGAACGAATGTTGCAGGATGAGATGATGAACGAATGTGTCAGGATGAGATGATGAACGAATGTCGCAGTATGGGATGATGAACGAATGTCTCAGAATAAGATGATGAACGAATGTCTCAGGATGAGATGATGAACGAACGTCGCAGTATGAGATGATGAACGAATGTCTTAGGATGAGATGATGAACCAATGTC